AATTTTAAGTAGTCTGTGAATTTAAGTCAATTGGTCAAATTTATGGGAAATTGTCCAGTTTTTAAATTGGATCAGGGAAGTCCTTATAATGTTGCTGTTATGGACAGGGAATCTCAAAGGAAAGAACAGTGGTCCTCAGTTCTCAGCCTCCTGAATAGTTAGGATTACAAGTGGTGAGCCACCAGTGTCCAGCTTGGCAGCTGGTTTTTGGGTGTTTTTTGTTTGTTTGGTTGGTTTTTTTTCAGTTGTGGGGCTTGGACTCTGGGCCTGGGCACTGTCCCTGCGCTCTTCAGCTCAAGGCGAACGCTTTACCGCTTGAGCCACAGTGCCACTTCAGGTTTCTAGTGGTTTATTGGAAGTAAGAGTCTCAGGACTTTCCTGCCAAAGCTGGCTTTAAACCGTGATCCTCAGATCTTAGCTTCCTGAGTTTTTGATGAAAGGATTGCCACTGAATCTTGAGTTATGATGAAACTGAAATTTAGGGGGGAGGGTTTGGGGAGACAATCATCTGCCTGACCTGCCTCTTGACTGAGCTCTTTGAATACACGGGATCGTTTAGGATTTAGACTAGTGAGGAAAACTGAACTGAGTGAATATATAGTCTTCTGTGAATATATAGGGAGATGATGACAGAAATGAGAATGGACACAAGATGTTATGGTTTGTTGTAAGCTGTATCTATAGATAGAAAGAAATTGGACATTAAGGCATTGATATGATGTACTATGAGAGTATGAGTAGTGTCCAGTAACAATAATGAGGATAGTTTACAGTTACTGAGACTTTCTGCATACTGAGCAACAGCTACTGTTAGAAACACTTAGCATAATGTGACTCATTTGTTTATCTTTGTCTTCATTTTATAGGCAAAGAAATCAAGGTAGAGAGATCAATGACATTCCTCAGAATGTTATAAAGTTTGTACAGTGGGAATAAGGACGCATAAACTGACTTCGGAACAGATTTGTTTTTTCAATATTGAGATTTGAATTCAAGGTCACATGCATGCTAGGCAGGTGCTTCACAGCTAAACCATACCCTTAGCCCTTTCTTTCACTGATTGTTGCTTGCTTGCTTGCTGCACTGGTACTTGAATTCACGGCTTCATACACTTAACTTTTTTGCTCAAGACTAGTGCTCTACCTCCACTTCCATCCTTTTGGTGATTAAGTGGAGATAAGAGTCTCTTATATTTGTCTGCCAGAGCTGGCTTGGAACCATGATCTTCATTCAGATCTCAGCCTCCTGAATAGCTAGGATTTCAGATTTGAATCACCAGTGCCTAGCTGTCTTGATTTCTTTACCAGGTTGAATTGACTAGTCCCCAAGTACAGTATATTTATTTAATTATACCTTCATTGAATTCTTTCATGTGTCATGTAGTTCCCTGAATACAAGAAGATTAGGCATCTTGGTTGTCACCTCCATTTTTGCCTAACAGATGACCCTGCATCCTGAGTCTTATATAACAATTAACCACTGGGCACCAATGGCTCACAACTGTAATCCTAGCTACTCAGGAGGCTGAGATCTGAGGATCCTGGTTCAAAGCCAGCCCTGGCAGGAAAGTCCGTGAGACTCTTTATCTCCAATAAACTACTAGAAAAACAGAAGTAGTGCTGTGGCTCAAGCGGTAGAGCACTAGCTTTGAGTTGAAGAGCTGAGGGACAGTGCCCAGGCCCAGAGTTCAAGCCCCACGGCCAACAACAACAACAAAAGAGTCTCACTGGACTTTCCTGCCCAGGCTGTCTTTGAACTTTGATCTCAGACTCCTAAGTAGCTAGGAGGCATGAGCCACCAGCGCCCAGCTCAGTTGGTTCACTTTTAAATTTTATATTGCCAATCCCTGACTTTTAATTGGAAAATTAAGTAGTGGCAAATGGTATCTAGCAATAAAGATGATAAAGATAAATAAATCATGTCTGTATAGCCTTTATTAAAAATATAAGGATGTGGGGCTGGGAAGATGGCTCAGTGGTAGAGCACGTGCCTTGCATGCCTGGGGCCCTGGGTTCGATTCCTCAGCACCACATAAGCAAAAAGAAAAAAGCCGGAAGTGGCGCTGTGGCTCAAGTGGTAGAGCGTTAGCCTTGAGCTGAAGAGCTGAGGGACAGCGCCCAGGCCCAGAGTTCAGGCCCCACAACCGGACCCAAAAAAAAAAAATATAAGGATGTAATCATACATACGTAATAACAGAATCTAGCATATCATGCATGTCAGAAAGAAAGATATGTTGGGGCCCGGAAGGTGGCTCAGTGGTAGAGTACTTACCTTGCATGCATGAGGCCCTGGGTTCGATTCCTCAGTACCACATAAGCAAAAAGAAAAAAGCCGGAAGTGGCGCTGTGGTTCAAGTGGTAGAGTGCTAGCCTTGAGCTGAAGAGCTGAGGGACAGGGCCCAGGCCCAGAGTTCAGGCCCCATGACCGGACCCCCCCCCCCCCCCAAAAAAAAAAAAAAGAAAGGTATTTAATTATTCCAATAGTTTAGCATGCCAAATAGAATTGCTTCAAACTTAAAAGGATACTTTTACCTTTGGTACAAAAGCTTACTCATTTTCAGGTGGTTTAAGGTTGTAGCAATCAGTTCCCCTTTCCCCTTTCCAGCCTTTCCCCTTTCCCCTTCCCCCTTCCCTCTTCCCTCTTCACCCCTTCCCCCTCCCCCCCTCCCCCCTCCCCCTTCCCTTTCCTTTTTTCTTTTCATCAATTGTGTGGCTTGAAGTCTAGGCCTGGGCACTATACCTGAGCTCTTCAGCTCAAGGCGAGCTTTCTACCACTTGAACCACAGCACTACCTCCAGTTTCCTGGTAGTTAATTAGAGATAAGAGTCTCATTAACTTTGGTGCCTGGGCTGGCTTTGAACTGTGATCGTTAGATCTCAGCCACCTGAGTAGCTAGGATTACAGGCATGAGCCACTGGCGCTCAGCAACTAGTTATTTTTTTTAAAAACATAAGTAGTTTAGAGGTAAAATTCATTGGTTGTAAGCATAAAAAAATTCCAGCTGTGGCTGACTTACACAAAACCATAATTTCTTGGAAGAATGAGTTAACCTGTAGATTGAAAATTGGGAAATAGAGAACAAGTCAAAGATAGTCATTATTCACTCTGCAAATTCTTTAAGAATTTAATGGGCAAGTTTTACATTGTTTAGAATTGTTACAGTGAGTTCTGTTGGTGTTGATTGGTCTAGGATGAGGACAATTGAACTTGAGGTTTTACAAAGACTATATCACACAGTGAGAAGGATATAGTTTCTCTCAAAAACAAATATGAAACACTGAGTGCAGTTAGAACTAAAGGATGGCAGCCAAGCCTTCATAATTAAAATAAATGGAATCTGACTGGCTTCAGTGGTATAAATCCAAATACTTGGAATGTAAGGGTAAGGTAGAATTGTGATTGTGAGGTCAACTTGGGCAAAAGTTAACCCACCCCTCCGTCTTGGCCAACAAACAGTGCCTGTGAGCCCAGTTGCACAGGCGGCATAGGTTGGAGAATCACTTGGCTCAAGTGGTAGTATGCCTGCCTAATAAGTTCAAGGCCTTGAACTTATCCCACTATCACAATCAGTGAATCAATGAATAAGTGGATGAATTAACTGGTCATGGTGTTACTCACCTGTGATCCTTTCACTTGGGAAGTTGGTTTGGAGTTTAAGCCAGCATGGCTGCATAGCAAAGCCTATCTCTAGGGGGAAAAATAAACTGATCAATCTTTGATCCTTAAGATTAAATTACTTCTAAAAAATGTAAGCCTCAAAGCTGGGTGCTGGTGGCTCATGCCTGTAATCCCAAGGTACTTGGGAAGCTGAGACATGAGGATCATGGTTTGAAGCCAAATGGGACAGGAAAGTTCCATGAGACTCTTATACCCAATAAACCACCAGAAAAATTAGAAGTGGCACTGTAGCTCAAGTGGCACTTGGATAGAGCTCAGGGATAGAGCACCCAGGCCTGGGAGTTCAAGCCTCACAACTGACCCTCCCCCCCCCCCCCCCCAAAAAAAGTGCGCCTCAAGTTTTGTTTTGTTTTTTTTTTTTTATGGGGTCTGGTTGTGGGGCCTGAACTCTGAGCCTGAGCACTGTCCCTCAGCTCTTCAGCTCAAGGCTAGTGCTCTACCACTTGAGCCACAGCACCACTTCCGGCATTTTTTCCTGCTTATGTGGTGTTGAGGAATCGAACCCAGGGCCTCATGCATGCAAGGCAAGTGCTCTACCACCTTCCCAGCCCCCTCAGGCTTTTTTTCTACATTGTATTTTACAAATAATTTGTTATTAAGGTGTGTACAGAGGTGTTACCATTTTGTAAGTCAGGTAATGAGTACATTACTTTGTGTGGAGAATATCACCCCTTCCTTTGGTTTCCCCCATTCCTGCCCACAAGCCACATAGTGTATATTTTATAGCATGATTGCATTTGTTTATCCTTATTCCCTCCCTTTCTGTGCCCTTTCCCCTCCCCAAAGGAAAAAAAAGAAACACCTAAAGCAAAAACAAATACCATTACCACCAACAGCAATTACACTAACCAAGAAAAAAGAACCCCCAAAACATGCTTCCATTTCTTGCAGTTCATTTCCATAAGTAGTGTTTTAAATGTTTAGAGAAATTACACCTTTGTTGCACTGGTTAAAGTGGGTAATAACTTTGTCCGGCTACATAAAGATAATAAAAATATAATTTAAAAAGCCAGGTTCCAATGGTTCACACCTGTAATCCAAGGATGGCAGTTCAAAGCCAATCTGGGCAGAAAAGTCCATGAGACCCATCTCCAATAAAATACTCCCAAACAGCTGGAAGTGGTGCTATGACACCAGGTGGTAGAGCACTAGCCTGTAACACAAAGAGGCTCAGGGACAGTGCCCAGACCCAGAGTTCAAGCAACAAGACTGACTCCCCCTCAAAAAAAATTTTTTTAAGATGTAAGTCTCAGATACTTAAGATGTTACCTATTAGCAGTATGAATATTTTGATTCTTACATGAACTTTATTTTTCTTTTTAGACAATGCGAAGACATAGAAATGAAGTGACAGTTGAACTGCGGAAGGTAAGGATGATACACACTTAAGAAATGAATTGAGGCTGGAGGTTTAGCTCAGTGGAGGAGCACCTGCCTGGCGGGTACAAGGTCCTGAGTTTGGTCCTCAGCTCTGGGGGAAAAAAAAGAAAAGAAAATGAATTAAAAGAGTTTTCTGATGTTAGCATTTTGTATTACTTGAATAATTAAAATACTCTGACAAATTTTACAGGAGGTATTCCTAAAACTATCTAGCATAAAAATACATAATAAATAAAAAATATTTTGATGGTTGTAGGTGCTACTAGAAGTTCTTTATAGCATTATAAGTTTCACAACATCTCATGAAGTTAGTTTTTCCTTAAAATCCTTTCTATGGGCTTTGTGCTGGACAGGATTACTCTCTTTCCCCATTTTTAATAAATTTATCATAGCTACAGAGAAGGAACAATGGCTGCGCAGAGTGGTGTCTACCTGCCATCCTCTGTGACTTGGTGAGGTACAAGTAGGAGGATCTCAGCCCAAGTGGGCCCAGACATAAAAAGCCATAACCTGGGTGCCTAAAAAACAACCAGCACAAGAAAGGTGTTGGAGGCATGACTCAAGTGGTAAAATATCTGCCATTCAAGTTTGAGGCCCTGAGTCCAAAACTTAGTACCGAAAAAGGAAGGAAGGAAGGAAGGGAAGGAGAAGTAAGAAGTTAGTTATAATTCTTATGAGTGAGCCAAGATGCTGATAGCTTGTAATCCTAGCTACTCAGGAGACTGATAACTGAGGATTGTGGCTTGAAGCCAGCCAAGAACCATTAGCTCTTGGAGTAATTTACATTTTGAATGTTAGAGTACTATATATTCCATTCAAGCAAATTCTTTTTCTAATATTAAAGTAATTTTTGCCTTTCAGTAGGTATGTTTTCCTTTTTTCCCATATTGTTTTTGGATCTACTTGCATGATAAAATAAACTGTTCCTTTGAACTACTCTAGATTGAGAAAGTTGGGGAGCCTCTAACACAAAGCAAATACCACTTAATTTAAGTGAGCTATACAATGTTCTCTGACCACAATCTGATTAACGTAGAAATCAGGGAATAAAACCATTACTTCATAGCTGTGAAAGTTGTTTTGTTTTGTTTTGTTTTGGGGGGGGGGGGGGTCCGTCCGGTCGAGGGGCCTGAACTCTGAGCCTGGGCGCTGTCCCTCAGCTCTTCAGCTCAAGGCTAGCATTCTTACCACTTGAGCCACAGTACCACTTCCGGCTTTTTTCTTTTTGCTTATGTGGTGCTGAGGAATTGAGCCTCAGGCATGCAAGACAAATGCTCTACCGCTGAGCCACCTTCCCAGCCCCTGCTGTGAAAGTTTTAAAGCACTTCTAATCAATATATTCTCATGCCAGGAACTGTAGATTGCAGTTAAGATGAAACTTGATAGCTAGTAGGGAGATTAAACAAATACTAGGAACTTTAAATATAACAAATTTAAAAACATGAATGCATTGGTCAAAACTAAGTGGTTTAAAACAATAGCCATTTTATCAGCAGAAAGTTTTTCTGCTTTGGTAGAGTCCATCTTTCTTCTGGCTTTTCTTATTGTCTCTGTTTAGTTGGTGGGTGGATTGGTGATTTGACCATCTGGGGTGGTCTTGTGTAAATTTCTAGCTGTTGTCTGAGATGGGATCTTGATTGTCCTCCACAGAGCTTCCATATCCACTGGGCCACTGCTTTTAGAAAAAGCACATCAAGAGATGATATTCCCCTTTGTAAGCACTTTGCAGATTGACTTGCTTAGTATCTTTTCCAAAGCAGGTCACGTAGCTGGGTTATGATCAGTGCAAGACTGTACTATCCAAAAGTATAGAAATAGGAAGGGAAATTATTACCATTTGTGTAAAGAAGGAACCAGCGACATTGTGAATATGAGCAACTTTTATGTCAACAAATTTGAAAACAGGTAAAGTAGAAGTTTCCCAGCAGGAGGGAGAAAAATGCCTGTTGGGTATACCCCTCTGGCAAAAGAATAGTCTTATATAAAGCACCACAGGTAGGGGTTGGGGAAGGATCTGGGCACTGGTGGTTCATGCTGCTGACTCAGAAGGCTGAGTTCTGAGTGTTGTGTTTCCAAGCCAGCTGGACAAACAATTCTGTGAGACTCTTATCTCCATTTAACCAGCAAAAAGTCAGAAATGGAGATGTGGCTCAGGTGACAAAGTACCAAACTTAAGTGGATAAGGCTAAGGGACAGCACCCAGGCCTTGGAGTTCAAGTCCCAGTACTGGCACACACAAAAAAGTAATTATAAGCAAGCGTCAGTGGCTTGTGCCACTTGCAAGGTACTTGCAAGATCTGAAGATTGAGAGTCAAAGCCAGCTCAGGTAGACAAATCAGTGAGATCCAATTAGCAAACAAAAAGGCAGAGGGTGGAATGCCAGTATTGAGTGGAAAAAGCTGAGCAAGAGTGTGAGGCCCTGAGTTGAACCTATAGCCTTGGCACTAAAAAATTAAAAAGAAAGCACCAGTAGACATACATAATTACCCTTATTAAATGATCTCAGCGTTATACTAACAATATCAGTTTCTAAATATATATGGACTTCACATGCCTTTATTAAATAAAGCTTGTGGATTAAGGTATTTAAATTTTCTATTTCATCTGAACTACTGTGAATAATCTAGCCATTACTAAGAAGAATCTCTTATAGGTAAAGCATACATATTTTTAGTTTTAATTTTCTGTTTAATCTGAATTTCATTAATATTAATGCCTCTTCAACAACCTTCTTTTGTAGTCCAACACTCCCATATACATTATATTGAACATATAAATTGAAATTTCAAAATATATCATTTGAAATTTTAACTTGAAAAGAACATTCAAAATCATCTAGCCTTTTCCCCCTTTTCTTTCTTTTTGTGGTACTGGGGATTAAACACAGGAGCTTGGGCTTGCTGGGTAAGCATTCTATCAGTTGCACCCCCAATCCCTTTGTTTTTAGTTTAGGGTGTTGGTGGTGGTGCTACTACTGTAGGTAGGTGTGTATGTGTGTGTGTACATTAGACTTCAGGACCTGGTACTGTCCTTAAGCCTTGTTTCTTCAGGGATAGCACTCATTACTTGAGCCACACTTCTTGTTTTATGGTGATTAATTGGAGATAGGAGTCTCGTGGATTTTTTTTTTTTGGGTCCGGTTGTGGGGCCTGAACTCTGGGCCTGGGCTCTGTCCCTCAGCTCTTCAGCTCAAGGCTAGCACTCTACCACTTGAGCCACATTGCCACTTCCGGCTTTTTTCTTATGTGGTGCTGAGGAATCGAACCCAGGGCCTCGAGCATGCAAGGCAAGTGCTCTACCACTGAGCCACCTTCCCAGTCCAGTCTTGTGGATTTTTATGCCTGGACTGGCTTCAATCCTCAGATTTCAGCCTCCTAAGTAGCTAGGATTACAATGTGAGCTACCAGTGCCTAACAATATTTTAGTTTTTCAAATAGGCTCTTACTAACCACGCTCTGGTTTATCTTACTTTTATAGTCCTCTTGCCTCTACCACCTGAATAGCTAAGGTTACAATCATGTTCTACCACACCTGACCCTTCATTTAATCTTTTAATCTAATATAGTCATTTGTTTCTAATTTAAATTTTTTTATATGGGTACTGGGGCTTGGTGTCAATGTCTGGGCGTTGTCCCATAGCTTTTTTGTTCAAGGCTGGGATTGTACTACTTAAGTCATAGCTTCACTGCCAGTTTTTTGTTTTTTTTTTTTTTGGTCGGTCATGGGGCTTGAACTCTGAGCCTGAGCGCTGTCCCTCAGCTCAAGGCAAGCACTTTACCACTTGAGCCACAGTGCCACTTCCAGTTTTCTGGTGGTTTATTGGAGATACGAGTCTCACAATCTTTCTTGCCTGTGCTGGCTTTGAACTGGGATCCTCAGATCTCAGCCTTCTGAGTAGCTAGGATTACAGGCGTGAGCCACTGGCACCCAGCTTCCACTTTTTTTTTTTTGATGGTAATTGGAGGTAAGAACCTCATGAATGGGCTGGGAATGAGGCTTAGTGGTAGAGTACTTGCCTAGCATGCATGAAGCCCTGGGCTCAATTCCTCAGTACCACATAAACAGAAAAAGCCACAAGTAGCACTGTGGCTCAAGTAGTATAACGCTAGCCTTGAGCAAATGAAGCTCAGGGACAGTCAAGCTCCAGGACTGGCAAAACAAAAACAAAAAAACTAAAGAGAAGAACCTCATGGACTTTCCTGCCCAAACTGGCCTTCAAATCAGATTTCAGCCTCTAGAGTAGGTAGGATTATAGGCGTAAACCACTGGAACCCAGCTTCTAATTTTTTTTTTTTTTTAATTCTGTACCTTAACTAAAAACTGAGAGAAAAATTGGTGATTAATTCAAGGTTACATAATGTCTCAAAGGTTACAATTGGAAACTATTTAAGTCCCACAAAATGTAGTCTGCAGAGAATTGTTATTTATAAGAGCCAGATAGCAAGTGTTTAATCTGAGGTAATGGTAAATTGGTGGCATTTATGTTAATGAATTTATATATCTTCAACAAGCATGTACACACCTTAAACTCTTCTGGTTAAGTTGCCTTTTAATAAGTTGCTTCAAGCAGATGTTAGCAATAAATATATAAAAATTGACACACTAATTGAAATATATTTGAGGAGCAATTATAATAATGCATTCTCAAATTTAAATTTTCCTTTTTTTATTGGGTAGTTATACAAAGAGGTTACAATTCCATAAGGCAGGTTATGAGTGGAATACTTCTTGATCAGTGTTACCCCTTCTATCATTCTTTCTCTCTTTTACCCCTTCCCATTCCTACCTTCAACCCAGATTTAAATTTAGATCCTCATTATAAAACATAGGTCATAATAGTTGGTGCTTAATGAATCTTTTGTGTGTATAAAAGCTGTATAGTTTAGCTAATTTTATTACTAATGTCCAAGTGAGGACTTGGTTTGCAATATATACATTTAAATATTAATAAAATTATCCACATATATTATTATGTTTTTCATGATTGCTGAATAAAGTTGTGATGATCTTAGTAGATTTTTCTTTAACAATAAACCTTTATGAGTTCTTAAACATCCAACATTGCCTTTCAGAACAAAAGAGATGAACACTTACTGAAAAAGAGAAATGTTCCCCAAGAAGAAAGTTTAGAAGATTCAGATGTTGATGCTGATTTTAAAGCAGTAAGTTGCCTGTTTTTGTTGGTGGTGGTTGTGGGGCTTGAACTCAGGGCCTGGGCACTGTCCTAGTCCTCTTTGTGCTCAAGGCTAGCACCCTACCACTTGAACCAGTGCCACTTCCAGTTTTTGAGTGGTTAATTGGAGATAAAAGTCTTTTAGGGACTTTTCTGCCCAGGCTGGCTTTCTGCTCAGACTGGCAAAAAAAAAAAGTCTAAAGATAAGAATCTTATGGACTTTCCTGGCTTCAAATCAGATTTCAGCCTCCTGAGTAGCTAGGATTATAGGTGTGAGCCTGAAATAATTTTTATAGTAACCAAGAGAGCGTTTTTTAAATTAAGTCAATTTAATAATGGTAAGTCGGGTGTATTTACTCTAACTTTAGCATACGAACTATTGAATAAATGTAGTTTCGTTAATTAAACTCTGCTGAACTACTTTTTTTCTTTTTAAGCAAAATGTGACATTAGAAGCTATATTACAGGTATGTTATTTTAATATTCTCATTTTGAAGTCTCTTAAATAGGGGTGTTGTTTTTTAAAAAAATTCTAAAACTTGTGTTTGGTGTTGCAGAATGCCACAAGTGATAACCCTGTGGTCCAGTTAAGTGCTGTTCAGGCAGCAAGGTAAATACTAATTTATCTAGATATAATTATGGTCTACCCTAGAGCGTTTCTAGCTGATAGTCTAGAAGCAGTATATTATTGTTTGTGTTCATAATTTGAAAATTATAGCAATTAATTTCTTGTGTTGCTTTTTATAGAAAACTGTTATCCAGTGACAGAAACCCACCAATTGATGACCTAATAAAATCTGGGATTTTACCAATTCTAGTCAAATGTCTAGAAAGGGATGATAAGTAAGTATGGATTTGATTCCCTTTTTTTGGTTAAATTAAAATTTAGGATTGCTATTTACTCAAGGGGTTCAGTTCTGTTAAATTTTATTTTGTCTTTTGTGGTGCTAGAGCTCGAACCCAAAGCCTTGCATGTGTTAACCAGGTACCCTTATCACTGGAATGTACTCCCAGCCTGACCTTTTTTAATTGACATGCATTTTAATGTAATTTTCTTATTCTGGGATCATATTCAGCAGAGGTAAAGTACCTCTGTTTTTAGTTTCTAAAGTTTACATATTTTAAAGGAAAGACAGCTCTCTTGGGTATTGCCTCTTCTAATTAATTGTAAGTATTTATAGTCTATACTTGTTATGTTTCTTTTTTAGTAATATTTTAAAACAACCAAATAGTATTTGAGTCATCCTTTGCTCATGACTCTATTTATAGCTTAACCTCATGACAAGTCAACATGGTTTCCAAACTAAGTGGCTGTTCTGTACCCTGGGAGTATGCTAGCTGACCACTGATTTTCTGTGTATTCTATAATAGAAATCCAGCCACCATCAGTTGTCCTACATCATGTTTTTTTTGTGGTATATTAGGAGTAAGAGGGCAGGCTGAATTTATCCAGAAGAGAAGGGGAAAACGCCACTTGCTATTTTTTGAGGTATTAGCTTCATTTCCATTTGTTTTTAGACATATCACAGGACTGTCTCAAAACTTTGTCAGTTTGAATTAACTGGAAAAAATATAAATGTGAACTCCAAAATTCTTTAAAGCAAATGTTATTTTTATATTTAAGAGTATTTAGACTGAAACTTGGGATAGTTTTCTAAGTGTTGTCCAAGGAAATTTTTAGTGACTAGATAAAAATAGTGGTATATAAATGTTGCTACTAAGCCTTTTTGGTATTTAAAAATACCTTCTGTCTCTATCATATGTTATAATCTCCACTCCCCAACCATAGACTCTTAAAACTTTAAACAATATATATTTTGTAATTTCTATAACAATATTTAAATTAAGGTAAGTTTTATTGTAGTTATTTTAAAAATAAATTTTAGCCTCTTACTACTTTTAAGGTTTTACTTTGTCCTTGGTCTCTGCTGTGAATTTCTGTGGTAGTTGTTGTTTGCTTATTTGATTGATTGCTTGTTTTTCCCCATCTTTTCTTCTCTCCAGCCTTTAGCATAAACTTACATAGTTGTATCTGTGAAACAGCACTTATATAGAAAAGTATGCTAAAATATGTACAGCTTGATGAATAATTATAAGACATAGACTTAAACAATTATACTCAGTGCAAGAGTAGAATATACCTATGGTTTAGATATGACTTAACCACTCAAGGCTCAAGAGTAGAAATATACCCATGGTTTAGATATGACTTTATGGATTTTTTTCATGGAAAGTTGTGTTACAGTGTAAAAACCATACATAGACTTGGGAGCCACATACTCTGGTTTAACTCCAGGACTTGCTGTTGACTAAAACCCAAGTATATGTTTTCTGGACCTCAGATTTAGGTGCTTGTGAAGAATGGAAATAATATTTACAAAATACATATTATGTACTTGTTGCACTCATTTATGCTTTCTAGATCTTGTCCCTTTTTCACATTATTTAATGGAAGACTTTCCTTGACTTGTAAAAAAAGAAATTGACTTTTTTTAATACCTTTTCATTTTCTCTTTTATGGCTTCCCTTTTCAGTGTTGGTTAGACCTCCCAACCTGCTTAATAACTCCCAATCTGGCACAGCATGTATCATCTTAAATCTTTTATCTTGATTGTCCTTTTACTCGTCTTCTGCCTCTGATACTATTTTATTCTCTTCTTTCTACCAGAATTCATCTTATAAGTTCTTCTTGGCTACTGCATTTTCTCATTTACTGTCTTTTTAAACTGTACAATATATTTTCCATCCCCACTGCCTGTTATATTGCTATTTAATTTCCCTAAAATGTATTATTTCTTGAATTTCATTACTTTTTTCAGTGTTCACAGTCTTTTCTTCCAGTTCTCTAGCTTCAGTGTTCACAGATTTTTCTTTCAGTTCTCTAGCTTTTGGTTCAACTAGGTCTGTTTTTTTGTGGGTTTTTTTGGGGGGGGAGAAGGGGATAGGCTAATCTTACTTGCCCTCTGGTATTCTTTCTACGTGTCCTAACAGTGTATATGTAACTTCCTTCTGAGAGTCTCTCCTATATCACTATCACTTTTTTTTTTAATATCCATTCTGCCTATTATTGACTAACTTTTTATTTTTTGTTGGTTGTGGGTCTTGAACTCTGGGCCTGAGCACTGTCCCTGAGCTCTTCAGCTCAAGGCTAGAGCTCTACCACTGTGAGCCACAGTGCCAATTCTGGTTTTCTGTGGATAATTGGAGATAAGAGTCTCAGGGACTATCCTGCCTTTCCTGGGCTGGCTTTGCACCTTGATTCTCAGATCTCAGCCTTCCTAAGTAGCTAGGATTACAGGTGTGAGCCACCGGTGCCTGGCTTGCTTAACGTTATTTTCTTTACTGCTCTTTTCAATAGCACCCTGTATTGGTATGTCTCTGGAATAAATCCCAAGGTCTGAAGTGTAGTTTTCAAGATTATACTCCCCTGATTCCTACTCAAAACTTTAAAACATATTCTCATAGACACATACATTATATTTTAGCACTCCTCCTTGCCTTTAATTCTTGTAATCTATTTCATATCATCCACATACAGCATTCTACCTGTGATTTTTTTTTTTTTTTTAAATTTTCAGCTGTCATTTTGAAAGGATAATTCAGTTTTCACTTTGTGAGGTCTTCTATACTAGCCATAATTTTGATGACCTTGTGTTGTTACAGAATTATGTAGCATTAAAGTTACATTTAATTTAATACAAACTGCAATTGTGCAGTAAGATGGGGGTTCCAGCTTTTGGAGTAGTCTAGAGGCTATGACAGTGAATCAAGTGAGATTATAAGGACTTTAATTAGTGTAGTTATATTAGAGATGATTCTGTAAAATGCAGGAAATATTTAGGAGGTTAAATGGTCATGATTGACGAAATCTATAATCTGTGGGATGGAGAAATCAAGGGATGATAGGCTAAACATTCTAACAATAAACATAAAGAAGCAGGTTTTTATAGCAACTGGCTTTGAGATGCAGTAAGATGTTTAAGCAGAAATGTATAGTAGGCAAATGTACAGCAGGCAATTGGATAAAACAAGGTGAAATTAATTCAAGGATAAAATAACCATAGGTCTGAGGTTTATAAATTTAGATCGGTAGTTGTGTCTAAAAAGTTTTTTTATTTTTTCAGTCCTTCATTGCAGTTTGAAGCTGCTTGGGCACTAACTAATATAGCATCAGGAACTTCTGCACAGACTCAAGCTGTTGTACAGTCTAGTAAGTCAATTAAATTCCTTGCTTCTGAACTTTTCTTTCTATTTTAATGATACTAAGTCAGGATTTTACAGTAAAGATTGAATTTTAGCTTACATTATTTTAAGTGGTAAATTTTCTGTTACTTTAATGATTGAAATCCTTCTAAAAACTGTCATTAGTCTGTCATTAATTTTAATTTTAGTTACTGGAAATGAAGTAGAACTTTAAGGGTAGAAACTATCCTCTAATAACAGGATTGTGTGTGTGTGTGTGTGTGTACATGCATGTGTGTGTGTGTGTGTGTGTGTGTGTGTGTGTGTGTGTGTGTGTGTGTACATGCACACTGATATTAGGGCTTGAATTCAAGGCCTTATGCTCTGCTCAACTTTTTTGGCCAAAGCTGGTGCTCTTGATTCTAATTCTGGCTTGCCTCTAATTCTGGCTTTTTGCTGGTTAATTGGAGCTAAGCCCTTCTTAGATTTGTCTGCCTGAGATGGCTTTGAACCACTATCCTCTGATTTCAGCCTCCCGAATAGCTAGTATTATATGCATGAGCCACCAGTGCCCGGCTTTTTGTTGTTGTTGTTATTGTGTGTGTGCTGGTCCTAGGGCTTGAAATCAGGGCTTGGATGCTGTCTCTGAACTCCTTTTGCTCAAGGCTAGTGTTCTATCACTTGGGCCATGGCTCTACTTCCAGTTTTTTTGGAGATGAGAGTAATACAACTTTCCTGCCCAAGCTGGCTTTGAGCTGTGATCCTCAGATCTCAGCCTCTTGAGTAGTTATGATTACAGGTGTGTAGTTAGGATTACAGGATTACTGTTCAAAGCCAGCCCCGGCAGGATAGTTTTTTTGGTCGGTCCTGGGGCTTGAACTCTGGGCCTGGGAGCTGTTCCTCAGCCCTTCAACTCAAGGCAAGCGCTCTACCACATGAGACACAGTGCCACTTTCGGTTTTCTGGCGGTTTTTTGGAGGTGAGAGTCTTACAAACTTTTCCTGCCTGTGCTGGCTTTGAACTGTGATCCTCAGATCTCAGCCTCCTGAGTAGCTAGGATTACAGACGTGAGCCACTGGCGCCCAGCTTTCTGTGAGACTCTTATCTGCAGTTAAACCCAGAAAACTGGAAGTGGTGTTGTGGCTCAAGTGGTAGAATGCTAGCCCTGAGCTCAGAGAGTTCAGGGTTAGGGACAGCGCCAAGGCCCAGAGTTTAAGCCCCATACCCCACAACAACAACAAAAAATAAATGAAATTAGTAAAAATAAAATATGTCAGTTGTAATGAGTCAGTTGAAACCTTCATACATTACTGGTAGGAATGTAAAATGGTGTTGGATCATAAGTTCAAGGTCAGCCTGAGCTATGTAGTGAGCCTCCATCTCAAAAATAAAATGTGGCTACTTTGAAAAAACTTTTCATAAGGATAAATGTAAGAGTTACCACATGACTCAACAGTTCTATTCCTGGACAAAACTCAGAAATGGTGAAAATGTCCACATTGTGGACATTGTACACAGATGTTCACAGCAGCATTATTCATAAATAGCCTCAATATCCATTAAATGATGAGTGGATAAATAAAATGTGCACATAGTGGAGTACAGTATCAGAGTAAAATTCTGATACTTGTTACAACATGGATGAACCTCCAGAAACATTATGCTAATAAGTGAAAGTATCTAGACAATGAGGCAATTAACTATATACAGTATGATTTCATTTACCTGAAATGTCCAGAACAGGCAAATCTATGAAGATAGAAAGCAGATATTTAATGGTTACCTAGGGCTGAGGAAGCAGGTAGCAGAGGAGCAAATCAGAACTGATTGCCACAGGTGTGAGATTTCTTTGGAGGAGAGTATAGGGAGATGATGGAAATGTAAGGTTTGATTGTGGCAATGACTGTAGAACTCTGTAATAGTGCTAAAAAGTACAGCATTGTGATACACTTTACAACTGATGAATTCTATATAAGATACGAATCTTTTTTGTGTGTGTATGCCAGTCCTAGGGGTTAAACTCAGAAACTAGGCACTGTCCCTCAGGTTTTTTTGTTTTTTAATATTTTTATTTATTTATTTTTGCTTCAGAGGCTAGTGTTCTACCAGTTGAGCCACAGCTCCACTTCCACCTTTTTAACTTTTTGAGTGCTTAATTGAAGATAGGAGTCTATGAACTTTTCTGCCCAGGCTTTCTTTGACCCGTGATCCTCAGATCTCAGCCTCCTGAGCTGTTAGGATTACAGGCCTGAGCCACAGGTGCCTGGCAAGGTATGAATCATTTTTAATAAGGTAGCTCTCATGTAGAGCAAAAATATCCCAGAGATGAATGTAGAGTTCAAATTGAAGACCAGCTTTTTTTGGTAGAAGTAAGTAAAGTATGTAAACTATGTGAAGAGTGAAAATTATGTGACTAGCACTCTATCTATTGTGGTAATGAAACATATAAGAGTGAAAATTATAATGATTCCTTATTTTAAAAAGGAACTTATTTATACAGTGGACCTGATATGAGATTAATCAAATCTTTGGTTAATCCTATAATTAGGAATTACAGTTACATGACTAAAGTTTTATTGTATAAGGTTATGTTGAAAAAATGAAGTATTGGAAAGGTTGCATGCTGCCATTTTCTTTTTTAGTCAGTATAATAGCAACCTTTACGTATTGTCAGGTGATGTGTTACTCAAATAGTACTAGGGGAAAATACTGAAATTAGTTACTTTTTAAAGTATAAGTCTTGTGGCATTTATCCGATGAACTACAATTGGACCAGATCTTGTGTGCCACATCTTGTGTGTTTTATTAACTCATTTAGGCTGTAATCTATAAATTTGTCAACATTTTTCCAGTGTAAATATTCCTGTGTTTGTTTTTTTAAATCACAGATGCAGTACCTCTTTTTCTGAGACTTCTTCATTCACCACATCAAAATGTTTGTGAACAAGCAGTATGGGCTTTGGGAAATATTATAGGTAAGTTGAATTTAGGGATAAAAAGATTTAAGAATTAACTTTTTTCCTACATTGGCATAGCCATTACCTACTATGTTTCCTCTGAATTTAATGTGCATTGACTATATTCTTGCCTCATAAAAACTAACTTAAGGTGCTACTTTTTACGTGTAAAAGGTATAGAAGGATACAATTTGTATCAGTAGTGGTAAGTTAAATTTGTGTTCTCAAAAATTAAGAATGAGAGACAGCATTTGATGCTTTTGAATAATGGTGAGGAAACATAGAACATCAGTGTCCCAACATGAGCCATTGCATACATTTCAAACTTTCTCATCCTGAATGTAATTTTTTTTAAAATACAATTTTCATTTCTGTAGGTGATGGTCCTCAATGTAGAGATTATGTCATATCACTGGGAGTTGTCAAACCTCTTCTGTCCTTCATCAATCCCTCCATTCCCATCACCTTCCTTCGGAACGTCACATGGGTCATTGTCAATCTCTGCAGGAATAAGGATCCCCCACCGCCTATGGAGACAGTTCAGGAGGTAAATGAAGAATTATAAAGGCCAGATGGAATATTTTCCTTATGTTTATACTTCAGGTGTTCATGCATAGGGAATGAAATAGTGTTTATTCTAATTATATTGCAAGTAACATACTATAAGTGATTACTGACTCCTATGAAATAAAAGTTGGGTATTGTAGACTATCAGAAAGAATGTTGGTCCCTCTTAATGTCCATTTTTAATGACTATTTTCATAAAAAGAAAACTTAGAAAAACTTGAAAAAGAGAAAACTTCTAGGTTTTAGTAGAGCACTTGCCTACCAAGCACAAGAACCTGAGTTAAATTCCCAGGTCCACTACCAAAAGAGAAAAGAAAGAAAGAAAAGTACAAAAGAAGAATAGAATCTCAAAAGTTTTATTACTGCTTTGCCTATTGGATATTACAAAAATATATATTGGAGCCAGGTAGCGCTTACCTATGATCCTAGCTACTCAGGAGACTGAGATTTGAGGATCACTGTTCAAGTCAGCCTAGGCAGTAAATCCATAAAACTCTCATCTCCAATTAACCAGCAAAAAGCTTGAACTGGAAGTGTGGCTCAAGTGGTAGAGAGCTGCCTTGAGTAAAAAAATTGAGCAATGAGGGGCTGTCCTAGGTTTGATTCCTCAGCATCTCATAAGCAGAAAAAGCCAGAAGTGGTGCTGTGGCTCAAGTGATAGAGCTAGCCTTGAACAAAAGAAACTCAGGGAAAGTGCCAGGCCCTGAAATCCAGCCCCCAGGACTGGCAAAAAAAAAATAAAAAAAGCAATAACTTGAGGTTCTGAGTTCATACACCAGTAACAATACAGGAAGAAAAAAATTGGAGTTGCTTCAGATAATATTAGTGAGAACACTAATGAGAATTGCTGACTGTGTATCTTTCCAATTCACATCCTTAGTCAGTGGTCTGCCTCCTTTTGTTCTTAATTCTCTGGGAGGAATTCTTAAGTGGCAAAACAAGTTTAATAGAAGGAAAGTGCAGCCTGGCACTGGTGGCTCACGCCTGTAATCCTGCTACTCAGGAGGCTCAGATTTGAGGATTGTGGTTCAAAGCCAGCCTGGACAGGAAAGTCTGTGAGACTTTTGTCTCCAATAAACCACCAGAAAACTGGAAGTGGCACTGTGGCTCAAGTGGTAGAGTACTCACCTTGAGCTGAATTGCTGAGGGACAGCGCCCAGGCCTAGAGCTCAAGCCCCACAACTGACAAAAAACAAAAACAAAAACAAAACAAAACAAGGAAAGTGCACCATTAAGGGAAACAGGAGCTTGAGATAGGTGGCTCAAGAGCAAACATGTGGTAAAGAAATTTTTGGGGCTGGGAAGGTGGCTCAGTGGTAGAGCGCTTGCCTTACATGCTTGAGGCCCTGGGTTTGATTCCTCAGCACTACATAAGCAGAAAAAGCTGGAAGTGGTGCTGTGGCTCAAGTGAGAGAGCAGTAGCCTTGAGCTGAAGAGCTGAGGGACAGCGCCCAAGCTCAGAGTTCAGGACCCACAACTGGCAAAACAAAAAATCATCTCTCTAGGACTTGGAGAGTGTGGGAGTTGTTTGTGGTAATGATCGTGGATTGATCTTAGGAAAAAGTGATCATGACTTAGCAGATTTTTGGAAGGGATCTCTTCATATAAGGTTGCCATCCTTGTCACAATGATATGTGACAACATGTATGAAGTATTGCCAACCAATACTTTTAAGTAGATGCAAAGCAAAAATTTAAATAGAAAAGAGGGGAAAGTGCATTGTTAAAGGAAAGAGCCAGGCCCAAGCTCTGTGGGAGAGATTTTTAAATATCAGATTTTTAAAAAAAGATGTGTAAGGGTTGAATTCAACGAAGCTTTATGTTTTGTTTTGTTTTGCTTTTTGTCAGTTGTGGGGCCTGAACTCTGGGCCTAGGTCCCTAAGCTTTATGTTTTATTGGTTATAATTTCTTGATTAAAACTAAGATTGAAAGCTTTAATTTGCAAGTCGCACTGTGGCTCAAGTGGTAGAGTGCTTGCCTTGAGCTGAAGAGCTCAGAGACAGTGCCCAGGCCCAGAGTTCAAGCTCATAACTGACCAAAAAAAAAAAAAAAAAAAGCTTTAGTTTGAGGGCTGGGTGTGTGACTTAGTGGTAGAGTGCTTGCCTAGCATGCATGAAGCCCTGGGTTCCATTCCTGAATATCACATACATAGAAAAAGCCAGAAATGGTGCTGTGGCTGAAGTGGTAGAGTGCTAGCCTTGAGAAAAAGAAGCTCAGAGACAGAGCCCAGGCCCTGAGTTCAAGCCCCAGGACTGGCCAAAAAATAAAAGAACTTTAATTTGGAGACATATCTGAAGTGATGGATCACCTGACTAGCAAACACATGGCCCTGAGTTTAAACTGTAATACCACACACAGAAAACATTAATTATGGCTCGTATAGCTTATTAAGTAATATTTTTATTTTAAATCAGGTAAGTGAGACAATAATATTAACTTTTCTTAAATAGAAATAATTGTGTACTTGCATCTCCATTCTTCCAACCTGATATTTATGTCATAAAGAAGCTTATTGAAGACATATTTTTCTCTAAGGTAATTGATCCCTGCCAGTTTTATTTGAATATTTTAATTGGACATTTGAAATAGGCTTTTGGTTTTTTATATTTAATTTATCCGATTTTTGTTTTTCCAATATTCAAACAAATTTAATATTTTTCTTGCCTTATAAACAGTATTTACTGCTTTTTGTGTCACCATTATTTTTAAAAACTCATATCCATAAACTATAGTGTTACTTATTATTTATCTTCTTTCCTTTAGATCTTGCCGGCTTTATGTGTCCTCATATACCATACAGATATAAATGTAAGTAAAGCATGAGCTGAGATGTGGAATTTACTCTTCATGGGACTAGAAAGGGCTTTTTAGATAAGAGTCAGGATATTTTGTCTATGTGTCAGCTTCTATAATGTTTTTGTATGTTTTTGTTTTAGCACTGAATTTTTTTTCAGTTGGATAAGATTTATTAAGAACTAACAAAATATTTCTGTTGCACCTATGTTTGAAATTAAATGCACATGTATTTCTGACGACAGTAAGTTATACAAAATGATTATAAGAACTTTCTAGCAGTGAGCCTCATCCTCGGGAATACAAAAAGAAATGTCAAAAGTTACAAGTATACAACTTAACAAAGGGCAATAAATTTATAGAGAAATGGTACAGAAAACAAAAAGATATAATGTCAAAAACGAACTTTACAACTTTGGTGGGGAGGGAGGGGGGAGTGGGGAGGATTGGTTGGGGGTTGGGGGAGGGATGGGAAGGGGAAACAAAGGAGGAGGCTACAATTCTTGATAAGAAATGTACTCATTATCTTGCCCATGTAATTGTAACCCCTCTGTAAGTATTTTCACAATTAAAAAAAAATGTCAAAAAAAAGAAAAAGAAAAAGAAAACAAAAAGATGTTAGGGCTTTAAGAATTGGTAGATCATGGGGGTTGGGGGTAAATAAATAAGGGAAGTAGCACTGATTTTTTTTTAATTTACTATTATAAAGGTGATATACAGAGGGGTTACAGTTACATAAGTCAGGTTGGCCAGTGCTACCCCTTCCATCTCCACCCACCAGTTCATTTTTAGCATAATGTCTAATTAGTACCACTGCTACGTTTGTTTACCCTTTTTGAAAATATGATTAAGGCTAAATTAGGCTTGTAGCTTAAATCATTTAATAAGCAAAAATACTATTATATTTTAGTTAAATTGTTTCATTGTTAGAGACAACAGTTCCCTACAGTTTCACTTTCCTATGGACAACTGCAGTGTGAAAATATTAAATGGTAAATTCCAGAAATAATTCATAAGTATATTGTTATAATTACTCTATTTTATCATTAGCTTCTGTTGTTAATCTCTTACTGTGTCTAATTTATAAATTAAACCACCATAGGTATATGTAGGAAGAAAAAGCATTTATAGGATTTAGTAGTATCTGCCGTTTCAGCATCTACGTGAGACTGTGGTAGATGTCGTGGGATTCCCACAGATAAAAAAGTATTGCTGGGCTGGGAAGGTGGCTCAGTGGTAGAGCGCTTGCCTTGCATGCATAAGGCCCTGGGTTCGATTCCTCAGCACCACATAAGCAAAAAGAAAAAAGCTGGAAGTGGCGCTGTGGCTCAAGTGGTAGAGCACTAGCCTCGAGCTGAAGAGCTGAGGGACAGCGTCCAGGCCCAGAGTTTAGGCCCCACGACTGGACCCAAAGAAAAAAGCAAAAAAAGAAGTATTGCTGTAGTACTTTTTTTTGTTGTTTTGGGGTTATTTGGTGCCAAGGCTTGATCTCAAGGTCTTTACACTCTCACTTGGCTTTCTCCTAACCTGCTCTATTCAAGACTGGCATTTTTTAGTTCTTGTTTTATTCATATCTACTTTTATTGCCTTGTGAGAATTGTATGTAATATTTCTGATTTATTTAATTTACTGATATTTCTTTGGACCTAATAAAATTCTTGTGTTGATATGTGGTTATATTGACCATGATCATGGTATTTATATCTGTTATATCTCCATTGTAAATTGTGCATTTAACTTTATAAACTTCATAAAGTATCCTTTCTCCTTTGTCATGTTTTTCTTAAATTCTATTTGTCTTTTTAAGGAATCACAAACCTTTCTGTCATATATTTGGTGTATTTTTGCACTTTCTTCTTTTTTTTTTTTTTGTTAGTTATGGGGCTTGAACTCTGGGCCTGGGCGCTGTCCCTGAGCTCTTCAGCTCAAGGCAAGCACTCTACCACTTGAGCTACAGCTCTACTTCCGGTTTTCTAGTGGTTTATTGGAGATAGGAGTTTCACAGTCTTTCCTGCCCCGGCTGGCTTTGAACCGTGATCCTCAGATCTCAGCCTCCTGAGTAGCTAGGATTACAAGCGTGAGCCACCGGCACCCAGCACTTTCTTCTATTTTTAAACTTCTTAAATTACTTTGTTTTAGGTGATTATTTTTTTTTTTTTTTTTTGGTGGGGAAGAGGTACTGGGGTTTGAACTCAGAGTACTGATCTTGCTGGGCTTGACCATTCACCATTTTTGCTATGCCATTAGCCTGGGCTTCTTCTGGTTATATTTGAGATGAGGTCTCACTTCCTGTCTGGGTGTGTATCTGAGCCCCAATCCACCTCCTTTAAGCTTCCTGTTGTTATTGGGATCACAGATTCACATCACTACATCCCTTCCCTTAGTGGAGATAGTTTCACAAACTTCTCTGCTCAGTCTCGCCTCAAACCATGATCCTCCTGATTTCAGCCCTCTACCAAGTAGTAATGTCTCATGTGAAGCATCGTTTAGGGTTTCATTTTGAAAACCAATTGAAGTCCATTTATATCTATTGATATGTTTCATTTCAACTAACATTATCTATAATGACCTGTATGCCTGATTCTCTACCTAGTTTCTTCTCTCTCTCTCTCTTTATAATTTCTTGGTACTTGGGGAGGCTTATGTTTTGTTGTTGTTTGACTTTAGGCTTAAACTTCTTATAATAGCCTTTTCTTTTTCTTTTTGACAGTTTAAAATGGGTCTTTTTATTCCTTTCTATTACCTTTACAGTGATGAGTGAACCTACTCTGCCTTTTCATGCTTCCCCCGTCCATTTGGAACATTTTCTGCTATTTTCAAATATTTTTTTCAGCTCTGCTTCTAGGAACTCTGATGATGTGAAAGATCTTATTGTTTTACAAGATTCTGAAGCTCTGCTCAGTGTCAATTTTGTTTGTTCTCTTATTCAGATTAAATTATTTCTATGGATCTAACTTTTTAAAAATTATTCTTATGAATACATTGTATCTTGATCAATATCCCCCCTTTCAAAATTCTCAATCCTTTCTATCTATTCTTTCCCTCTTTTTAATTTTGTAGGATAAACTGAATTCTTGACTGAATTCTACTCCCCTTCTTTTTGTTCATCTACCCTTTTCCCCTTCACCCCACCCCTTTCAAGTACCTACTTCCTGGTATTTATTTTGTTTGTCTTTGCCTTTCTAAGGAATTTTATTATTGGATTTTTCCCTTGCGTCTACCATATTTCAGTTAAATACATTTGTGTACACTTACATACCATACTCACTGTATTTACTTACAACTTTATAAGCCAAGAACATGCATCCTTTGTGTCTCTGGGCCTGACTGACTTCACTTAAGGTATTTCCCCACGTCTTTCCATTTCCTTACAAATGGTGCAATATAATTTTCTAATGGATGATCACAATTCCATTGTGTGGTATCTCTCATTTTTTTTGCTATTTTGTTATAACTTTGAGTTCATTGGTCTACCCTCTCTCCCCGCCTTCCCACCCACCATCATATTCTTTTTCTTTTTTTTTTTTTTTTTGGGGGGGGGGAGGTTCTGGTCGTGGGGCCTGAACTCTGGGCCTGGGCGCTGTCCCTCAGCTCTTCAGTACAAGACTAGCGCTCTACCACTTGAGCCACAGCACCACTTCCGGCTTTTTTCTTTTTTGCGTATGTGGTGCTGAAGAATCGAACCCAGGGCCTCATGCATGCAAGGCAGGCGCTCTACCACTGAGCCACCTTCCTAGCCCCTTTTTCTTTCCTTAAACTTTTCTTTCTGTCTCAAACGTATTTGTAGCTGCTCATGGAAACATTTTTTGTGGTTATTACTTTAAAATCCTTCTTCAGTACTTGACAGATTTATCTCAGTATTGGCATTTGTTGACAGTCTTGTGTTGAGATTTTCCTCATTCTTAGCATAAGTTATTTTCCGTTGTGGTTCTTAGCATAAGTTATTTTCCATTGTAGGCCCAGAGTTCAAGCCCCATGACCAACGATAGATAGATAGAAAGATAGATAGATAGATAAAATTTATGCTATAGAAAACGTTGTTGGATTCTGTTTATGGATTTTTTTTTTCTGGTACTAGAGTTTGAATTTAGGACCTCATACTTTTTTTTTTTTCGGGGGGGGGTTAATTGTGGGGCTTCACCTCTGGGCTTGGGCACTGTCCCTCAGCTCTTCAGCTCAAGGCGAGCGCTCTGCCACTTGAGCCACGGCACCACTTCTGTTTTTTTCTGGTGGTTTATTGGAGATAAGTCTTACAGACTTTGCTACCCAAGCTGGCTTTTGAACCTCGATCCTCAGATCTGAGCCTCCTGAGTAGCTAGGATTTCACGTGTGAGCCACTAGCGCCTGGTGACCTCATGCTTTTTGCTCATCTTTTTTATTCAAGGCTGGCATTCTACTACTATGCCACATTTCCAGCTCTTCTATTTTATTTTTAAAATTAGGATGGCAGTGGTATGTTTTAAGGGGTTTAACAGTTTTTTTCCCCCCCAAAAGTTAAAGTGCCAAGTCATATCATGCTTCTTACTTGCTTTAGTCTGAAATATTGTATTGCTTAACAAAGTTGAAAACTATTAGACTGAAGAAATTACTTATTTTATGTCTTCTAGATTTGAAGCAACATAGTGTATTGGCCATATATAGAGTATTTCACTTAATTATTCAGTATCAAAATTTGAGGGCCAAAGAGAATTTTCTATTTTCTTTCAAATTTACCCTTCTGACACATAAATTCAGAACCTAGGTAGAAGTATCCCAGACTTGTATGTCTTCTGATGGTAAAGAGTGATTAGGTGTTGGCATGGAAAGGTACCTTCCATTACCACATTACGCACAAACATCTTTGCCATCAAGCTAAAACATAAAATTTGGTCACTTTTTCTGTCACTACTCTTGGGATATGAATTTTATGCAGATGTAAATTACAATTGATTATTCTTTTTACTTCCTGTAGATCCTTGTAGACACTGTTTGGGCTCTATCATACTTGACAGATGGAGGTAATGAGCAGATCCAGATGGTTATTGATTCAGGTGTTGTGCCATTCCTTGTGCCCCTTCTGAGCCATCAGGAAGTGAAAGTCCAAGTAAGTATTTTCAGTTTTCCTTCGTATTACACAATTCTTTTTGATACACTAGTTAGGTTAATCAATGAAGTTTTAGTCTATTAGCACTCACATCTCAGATTGTACCAGCTAGTCTCCTGAGTCTGATTTTGTTGATTTCCACATTTTTTCCACTTAGGATGATTTTCTGATGAGTTTCAGAGCCATATAGCTAATTGTTTTGGGCCTCTTAGAGATAGCATTTTAAGAACATTTCATTAAGAAATATTTTTAGGCCAGGCGCCGGTGGCTCACTCCTGTAATCCTAGCTACTCAGGAGGCTGAGATCTGAGGATCGTGTTTCAAAGCCAGCCAGGGCAGGAAAGTCCATGAGACTCTTATCTCCAATAAAACCACTAGAAAACCGGAAGTGGCGCTGTGACTCAAGTGGTAGAGCGCTTGCCTTGAGCTGAAGAGCGCAGAGACTGTGCCCAAGCCCAGAGTTCAAGCCCCATGACCGACCCAAAAAACAAAAAAAAATGAAATATTTTTAGATCAGCATGTTTTACTAAGAAATGCTAAAAAGCCTTATATTGTCATTTCAGCAAGACAAAGTGGAAATTGATCATCTTTTCTCACAAACTTGCCCTTCTGCCTGTCCCTCTTTCAATGGACAGCATAGTCCAGGCTCTTCTCATTTCTCATTCTGTTAGCAATTCCTTACAGTTTTTATACAGCTTTCAAATCTGTCTATCCTTGTCTAGAGTCACTGATTTTGTTTCAGACTTAATTTTCTGTCCCCCAAATAATTATAGTAGCCTTCTCATTATGTTTCCTTTCGTCCTGGCTATGATTAGGTAGGTGCTGTTAGGTCTGCTCATCACACTTCTGGAAATGAAATGTAGGCCTGTTTCAGACGTTTAAAAATCTTTCTATGCTGCCAGTTTAGTAATAGATAAAGATAGCTATTCAAGAAAATAGAACTTTATTACATTTATTATGCTTTTATTTTTTGAATCTCCTTTTATTAAAAAAAATTTAATTGGTATTATAAAGGTGATGTACAGAAGTTGAATCTTCTTAACTTTTTTACATGTTTCCATGAACTTCCATTTCTTCACAGAAGCCTTTGGTTTAAAATTTAGAATTACTGAATTACTTATTGCTTTGTCAAGAGATGAAATAAATGCTTATCATTTGCTTCTTATATTTTATACATTTTCCAGAATTGTGAAAAATACAGAATTTGTTTTATCATAAACAAACTGATAGAAAACATTTTATCTCCACCCCAGACTGCAGCACTCAGAGCAGTTGGCAATATAGTGACTGGCACTGATGAACAGACCCAGGTTGTTCTCAATTGTGATGTCCTGTCACACTTCCCAAATCTCTTATCACACCCGAAAGAGAAAATAAATAAGGTAAGGCATGAAATGTCTTTACCCGTGTATTTATATCTCTTCATATATATCCTTTTTTTTTTCTGTTGCTTCATGAATTCTTGTGTTTTTTGTAAAAACCACTAGAGTTAAAATGAGAATTGTTTGAAATCAGTCTGTAATTGATTTGTTTCAACTTTTAATTGTTCTTTAGTACTTCCCATGCTCATCAAAAAATAAAAAAATTTTAGACTGGTTTGGTTTTATTGATTGAGCCGTAGCAACAATCATTACATTACTAGTTATTAGGCTATAAAGAACATATAAAATCCCCCCATGGGAGAGGCTATATTTATTGCTGTAGTGTTTGGATCAGACTGCCCTCCAACTACAGTCCTCTCAATTTCAGCTTCCTGAGTAGCTAGGGTTAGAAACATGAGCTACTAGAGCTGGTGGGTTTTTTTTTTGGCCCTCTACCCCTCCATCCTGGAGCTTGAACTCAGGGCCTAGGCACTGTCCCTGAGCTTGTTTGTGCTCAAGGCTAGTGCTCTACCACTTAAGGCACAGCACCACTTTCAGCTTTTTTGAGTAGTTTATTGGAGATAGGAGTCTCATGTTGACTTTTCTGTCTGGGCTGGCTTTGAACCACAGTCCTCAGATCTCAGCCTTCTGGGTAGCTAGGATTACAGACGTGAGCTACCAGCACAGGCTTGGTATTTTGTTGTTGTTGTTGTTTGTGTTTGAACTCAGTGCTTGGGCACTGTCCCCAAGCTTCTTTTGCTCGAGGCCAGCATTCTACCACTGAAGCCACAGGGCCACTGCCAGCTTTTTCTGTTTATGTGGTACTAAGGAATCAAACCCAGGGCTTCTTGCATGCTAGGTGAACACTCTACCACTGAGCCACATTCCCAGTCCCTTGGTGGGTTTTTTTTTTTCTTTCTTCTTCTTCTTCTTTGGTGGGGGGTTTTAAGCATAATCTTTTTTGTGTTTGTTAGTACTGGAGTTTGAACTCAGGGCCTGAGCCCTGTTCCTGATTTTCTTTTACTCAAGGTTAGTGCTATACTACTTGAGCCACAGCTCCTTAAGAATCTTATGGGTGGGTGGGGGGATGAGGGGGAGATGGGAGGGAAGGGGTGGTAAGGGGAAACAAGAGGTAACAATGCTTGATAAGAAATGTACTCATTACCTTGCTCATGTAATTGTAACCCCTCTGTATGGTATTTTCATAATTAAAAAATCTTATTAATAAAAAAAAAAAGAATCTCATGGACTTTCCTGCCCAGATCAGCTTCGAACTGTGATCCTCAGATCTCAGTAGCTAGGATTACAGGCTTGAACCACCAGTGCCCAGCTGATGCATAATCTTAAAATCGATTGCCTCAATTAAAGTATCATAAAATTGTTCTCTTTCATATTTCAAGCTTGATATACAAATTTATTATTACTTGTGTAATTTAAAGTACTAAGTCTTTTTATGTCTTATTTCATATAGCATGTTTTCAAGGTTTATCTGTTTGGTAGTGTCTATCAGAACTTCATTTCTTTTTACAGGGTTTTCACCTTTTGGTTATTATGTGTAATGCTGTAATGAACATCAGAATATAGTGTTTTATATACCTAAGAATTGCTGGGTTATGGTAATAGTATGTTTTGGGAGAACTGTTAAACTATTTAAACTGTTTTTTCAAGTAGCTACACAATTTTACATTTCCACCAGCAATTTAACTCCCTAGCATTAATTTTCCACTAAAATAGTAATGCGGCCTTTCAAGTAGGTATGAAGTAGTGTCTCATGGTGTTTTTAATTTGCTCTTTTTTAAACTCAGAACCTTATACTCAGATGCTCAGCTTCACCTCTAGCTCTCTTTTTGCTTTTTTGCTCTTCTTTTCACTCCCACTTGTATTAGAATTTGAGTTTGAAGGCTTTGTGCTGGCACTCTACTACTTGAGCTACACCTCCAGTCTAGCTTTTTCCTGGTTTATTTACTGAAGTGGGGCTTGAACTTACAGCCTTATGTTCCTTTTTTTTTTTTTGTCAGTTGTCGGGCTTGAACTCTGGGCCTGGGTCCTGTCCCTCAGCTCTTCAGCTCAAGGCTAGTGCTCTGCTTCTTGAGCCACAGCGCCACTTCCAGTTTTCTGGTAGTTAATTGGAGAGAAAAGTCTCACAGACTTTCCTGCCTGGGCTGGCTTTGAACTGTGATCCTCAGATTTCAGCTTCCTGATTAGCTAGGATTACAGGCGTGAGCTACTGACGCCCAGCAGGCAGCCTTATGCTCTTGCCTGCCTTGCTCCACTTCAAGATGGTGCTCTTATCACTTGAGCTACACCTCCACCTCCTATTTGCTGCTGATTAATAGGAAAAGAACAGACTTCTGCCTGGATTGGCTTTGAAAATCCACAGTCCTCATATCTCAGCCTCCTGAGAGCTAGGATTACAGGTGTGAGCCACTAGCACCAGGCTTTTGGCTGGTTATTTTGGGGATAGAATTAAGGAATTTTCTACCTGGGCTGGCTTGGAACTCTGTTCCCTGGATCTCAGCTTCCTGAGGAGCTGGGATTGTAAAAATGAGTCACTGGCTTTCCTTTTTTTATTTCACTTTGCCAATGGGACTTTAGCTTAGGGCCTTCTGTTTGGGTCCTTATGCTTTTTAGCTTGCTTATTTATGGCTGACACTGCCACTGGAGCCAGGCCTCTAGCTTGGCTTTTTTGCTGATTGATTGGAGATGGAGTCTCATGGACTTTTCACCCTGGCTGGCTTCAAATCTGGTTCCCCTAGAAATCAGTCTCTTTAGTAGCATGCTCTGTTTATTTTTGGTGATATTAGGATTTGAACTCAGGGTTTTATGCTTGCTAGTGAGGTACTCTACCACTCGAGCTATACCTCCAACCCTTTTAAATCTGTTTAGTTTTGAGAGAAGTTCTTGTCTCTGCTAGCCTGAACCACAGTCCTCCTGTTTTATGTTCCTTGCTAATAGTGTCTTGAGAACTTTTTTGTCCAGGCTGGCCTCAAACTTCAATCCTCCCACTCTCAGCCTCCTAAGTAGTTAGGTTTGCAGTAGTGAGCCACTGCAAACATCTGCTTATATTTTAGAGGAAACTAATGCACAGAAACTTATGTTCTAATTAATAAAGATTTTGAGCTGGGCCCTGGTAGCTCATACCTGTAATCCTAGCTACTCAGGGGGCTGAGATCTGAGGATCTAAGCCAGAAAACTAGAAGTGGTGCTGTGGCTCAAGTGGTAGAGTACTAGCCTTGAGCTGAAGAGCTGAGGGACAGCTCCCAGGCCCAGAGTTCAAGTCCCACAACCAACAACAGCAAAAACAAGATTTTGATATATTTTGTTCATTGCTCCATCACCATTGTTTAATTATGTCTAGCTTTATAGAGGCCTTGTGTATTTTTGAATAGATTAATGCTAGATTATTGTGGCACAACTATTATGGATAAAAAAGTTTCCTTGTAGACTTATTAAAACAGGAGATCTTATATAACTAAATTGCTTTTTAGATATAATCACTTTAACACAACTCAGGTGATTTTCTTTTTATTACATACATAAAATTTGTTAAACATAAAAACATTGAAATTCTAGTTTTTTCAAATAAAAGTGCTTCATTTTGTTCAATTATAGGAAGCAGTATGGTTCCTGTCCAACATAACAGCAGGCAACCAGCAACAAGTTCAAGCTGTAATAGATGCTGGATTAATCCCTATGATTATTCATCAACTTGCTAAGGTCAGTCATATTATGAGTTCTCTATTCCTTAATCTGCTTTAACTGAGACTTTTTGGATAAAGATCTTTTTTATTTTTTTAACCTTCAGGGAGACTTTGGAACCCAGAAAGAAGCTGCTTGGGCAATTAGCAACTTAACGATAAGTGGCAGAAAAGATCAAGTGAGTTTGAAAATATATTAACTGTCAGGCTTATTATTTGGAAAGTACACTACTTTCTTACATTTATGAATTACTGATTGTTTTAAATCTCTGTACTATATAATACTCTGTACTATATAATTATTTAAATAAAAATGATTCCCTCTTTTTGTTCTATAGGTTGAGTACCTTGTACAACAGAATGTAATACCACCATTCTGTAATTTACTATCAGTAAAAGATTCTCAAGTGGTTCAGGTGGTTCTAGATGGTCTGAAAAACATTCTGATAATGGCTGGAGATGAAGCAAGCACAATAGCTGAAATAATAGAAGAATGTGGAGGTAAGAGTATATTGGTTGTAGAAAAGTAGTGGAACATTGAAATTTGGCACTCAAAGACATTCGTTCCTCTAAAGCCAATTTATTAGAAAGTAAATTAATAGAGTATATTTTAAATGATCAAAATACGTTGTTGTTCTTTGTTTGCTGTCTTAACATTCCAAACAGATTTTTCAGAAAACATTAATTCTAGAGATTGATTTTTTTTAATTTTATTTATTTGTTTGTTTGTTTTACCACTAGTAGGCTTGCACTCAGAGCCTGAACTCTGTTCTTTAGCTTTTTTACTCAAGGCTTGTGCTCTGATTACTTGAGCCAAAACTCTTATTTCTGGCTTCTTAGTAATTAATTGAAGATAAGAGTCCCATGGGCTTATGTCTCTTTGAATGGGAAGAGGCATGCTCTGAGATTCATAGGAATTTTTCCTAATTAGAATGAATACAGTTTAAAAAAAAAAGAATGAATACAGTTATGATGAATATCTTCTTACTTTGATTTTTATTAGGTTTGGAGAAAATTGAAGTTTTGCAACAACATGAAAATGAAGACATATATAAATTAGCGTTTGAAATCATAGATCAATATTTCTCTGGTGATGATGTAAGTATATATTAAACTATGGTGATTCTGCATGTAAACGTATGTATCTGTGTGTATAATGTAAATTAACTGCTTTCCTTTTATTAATATGATTTAGGTTTTTTCTGCATGTCAGAAACACCACCAACCTCTTCTTTTTAAATATTTTGTCAAAAATTATGTATGTATATTTTTTGTTTGGTTGGGTTTTTTGTTTTGTTTTTGTGCTGGTACTGGGACTTGATCTTGGAGCCTGTGTGCTGTCCCTGAGTTTTTTTGCTCAAGGCTAACACTCTACCACTTGAGTCCTAGTTCTACTTCTGGCTTTTTGTGGTTAGAGAGTCTCAGACTATTCCTGCCTCTGCTAGCTCTGAACCATGATCCTCAAGAGCTCAGCCTCCTGAATAGCTGGGACTGCAGGCAGGAGCCAACATTGCCTGGTTTGACCAAAATTGCATTATAAGACGGAATTGTAAAACAGTTCTTGTTGCAATTATAGGGATGGTGTTCAGATAGGTTAACCGATACAAGAACTTAAGAATGGGCAGTTTTTAAGTGTGTATTCGATTTAAAATTGTCATATTTCTCAATGTTGTTGCTTGATTTACCCAAATATTTTAGGTGATTAAAGTAATTAATACAGAATTCTCTCCTAAAAGGTAAAAAACTTAATTTATCCTTGTATAGAGTATTATAACATAATGAAGTTATTTTCCCTTTTTATAGATTGATGAAGATCCTAGCCTCATTCCTGAAGCAACACAAGGAGGTACTTACAATTTTGACCCAACAGCCAACCTACAAACAAAAGAATTTAATTTTTAAGGTCAACTGAGTGCAGCATCTTTCTCACATTCAATATGAAGCACCACCAGATGGCTACCAAATGACAAAAACAACAGCAACAAAAGGCTCCAAACACACATGCCTCTTCGTTTCAATGCTTCTAAAGCAAGCCATGTCTCAGTCACTTTGCAGTTGCCAAAAGTCACTCTCACATGGACTGTAAATGCATATGCATGATTTCCTGAACTGTTTTAGAATCCTCCTTAACAATCTCAACTATCCTATTTTCCCCGTTCCCTGGTGCCACCTGCCGACAACTGCAGTCTCCAGTTTAGAATATTCCATAGTGGTGGCATGTCAGCTGCCCACTGATATTCCTTTGGAAAATGGTGCACTGTGGATCAAGACACTTTGGTATGATGCATATTCACGTTGGAAGACTAAAGAGGTGCAGTGTGATCTGAGCCTCCATCATTGTCCTCCACAAACATATTTTCATATTCTTTATGTGGAAGAATAGATTTTAAATTACAAGCCAAATGCTTTTCATTGGTGGAACTGACACACAAAAAAGTAACTTAAAAAACAAGAAACTTGGTTATTGATTAAACAGATAAGTTTTAAAAAACTGTACTTCATCTACCAGTAATTGATGTGTTTATTATCTGCCTCAGAAGCCAGGGTTGGAGAACTTTAGATAATCGATGGTAATGCTTTTGCCATTATACCTAATTTTTGAGAACAGCAAGCCCTATTTGACCACTCACTTCAGCCTGTGTGTTCCTGCTGTTTTGAAGTAATCAAATGCTGTGCATGGTATTTTACCTGAGCTGCAACCTGTTACAGACTTGAACTTCTGCTTAAGTTGAAAGCAAGAGTCCCTGACAACAAAGAAAATGTAAACACAAATGCAAAAAACAAAACAAACTACAATTTTAAAAATGGCAAAAGTCTAAAGTACTCATTGGTGATGTTTTTTTTTTAAAAAAAAAAATCTTGCTTTCAGCTTTCAGGAGTTAATATATTTTGTTTTAATTTGATAATTGGATATGGTTGATTTATATTGGGTTTAAACTGTGGAGCTTTCATGTTTACTGTAATTTAGTCTTAAAAACATTTTTTACTTAGTAACCAGTGCTTTTGATAATGTGGTTGGCAACAAACCAGCAACTACTTAGAAGTGTTATAAGACTTCATTCTTTGGGTATTGGAAAAGTTCATTCAGATCCTATTCTAAAAGCATCTGCACATATTAAAAGATTCAAAGAGGGATCTGGGTAGAGGAATAATCTGCAGTTATTTAACATAAGCCTGATTTGCAGTGATCTTTAATTCTGCAAAATCTGGCATTAATATGTCATTGCTTTTGGTAAATTGTCTGACCCATTTATTAATGAATGAATGTGGATTTGAAAATTTTTAAACTAAATAATTTGTGTTGTCACAGAAATGGTTTTGTTGCTCTTGTTTACTGGGTATAATTTCCCAATGCATTGATGTGAAGGGTTAGAAAATCTAAACTAAGTTAGTTATTGGACAGGGGGTATATTTACTGTGATGAAGAGATTAGCTGCCATCAGAGCTTTGTGAATCAGCTGGGGTGTTTTCACTGATAAACAACACATAGCAGGTGTGCATTCATTACAAATATATGTATCTGCCAAGGTGGAGCCACTTTAAAGAGTTTTGTCTTGTATCTAAAGTGGATACAAGCGTATGTTTAAACTGCAAGATTTTTACTTGCTAGAGAATCTGTTTTAATATAGTGGTTTGGCCTCTGATTATTTATAGGTTTTATAAATTTTAGAATCAATTTCTCTTTAAGGTGGCTCAGATTTTTCAACTCTTGTGCACATAAAATTGAGTTGAAGTTCATTGTGCCTTTTTTTCTTTACCCAGATTTTGAGTTGAAGCTTCATATGGTAACTGCATCCTGTTCAAACACTGTTGTCTAAATTTTTGAAATTGTGTGGTGTTCACTAAAAGTAGGAATAACAAAGTCAAAGCAAATTAAGGTCACAAACTTCGGTGAAACCCTTAAAGTCCAAATCTTCTTGATATTGTGAATTGTCCCCCTTCCAGTTTAGTTTCTTCCAGACTCTCTATACTTAACTGACAGTTACCTTTTAAATGTTGCACACATTGAGATTAAAATTGGGCCTCTACTGTGATGATTCGTATTTCCTCTCATGTTTTAAGTGCAAACTAACATTTAAGTGAACATTAGCATCAAGTAGTGCAGACATTTGTATGCATTTGCTTGATTCAATTTGTTGTGACCTTACCAGTTTTGAATTGGAATTGCACCATTTCGTAGATAAAGGAAACTAAGTATATTGCTGCACTTTTAAGTTTTCAAAACAGTGTTTTAAAATTGCATTGTTTTTATTTTTTTTAAACTCAGTTAAAAAAAAAACTAAAACGTTCTTTCAAAAGAGGCATCTAAACGTGTTCCTAATTTTGTATATGGGCTTAGGTTTTGTAACCAATAAAAAAAAGCTGCTATCAAATATGATAAAACATTGAAAGATTTATTTCTGAAAGTAACTTGATTACTTAGCATCATTTTCTGTATGGTTAAATTTAAATTTGGAATTACTTTTCAGATAGCCACAATGGTGGTGAATTAGGAATTATTCTTTCATTGCATTTTGACCTGTCCCTCATACTATAACAAACAAGGATGACCAATAACTCTGTTAGAGTGACAAGTAAGAAGCACAGCATCTGTATTAATATCCTAAGCTGCCATAACCAAGTTCCATAAACCAGTTGACTTCAAACAGCAGAAGTTATTGTATGGTAGTCTAGAGGTTGAAACTCCCAAGTGAAACTGGGGCAGCCTGGGCACACTCTCCTTGCCCACACCTCTCTCTTCCCAGCTTCTTGGTAGTCTGTAATATTCCTTGGCTTGTAATTGATTTATTCCATTCTCCGCCTGCCATTCCATGGCCCAGTCTTCTTGTGTCTCCGATTTAGACACTGTAACTTTAAAAAAGTCAGTTTGGGGTAAGGATGTGGCTCAAGAGGCGTAGAGTTCCTGCCTAGCAAGTGCAAAGTCCTGATTTCAAACCACAACACCCCTCGAAAAAAACGGGGGGGGGGCAGTTTGAGAAGATGTTATGATGGCATTTGAATCAAATAATCTAATCAAATTTTCAGGCCTACCTAACCTTTGAAAATGTGTGACTTGTAGCATAGAGAATAGTAATTGAAGTACATCCTTAAAGTTTTAACCTGTTAGAGGTTGTGGCTCTAAATAAAATTGGATTAATTAAAAGAACAAGGGAACAGCCAAACTTTTGAGTATAGAAATATTTTCACTTTTGTATAATGCCACTTCAAATTATTTTTGAAAGAAGTTAGTGTATAAGAAAATAAATGTAATAGTACTCATTTAATCTTGCCATCATTTCATTTAGATGGAACATCTTTTTCAGGGGATTATTTGTTTCAGGTAAACAAGAGTTACTGGAATTCATGAATGGCAGTTATAGTGTTAACCATTTTTTTAAACCATGGTTGAACTCTGGGGAATTTTAATTAAATTTACTTGAAGAAAGGGAGTGTAATTTCTGTACATTAAGCTATGAGTGTTAAGGCATATGACTTTGTGTTCTTTTTTACTTACCACCACTCATTTGTCCCAGGTTTGAGAGGAACTCTTCATCTAAGTACTATACTTGAATACATAATGGAAAACAGTGAGAGAATGATTCTCAAAGTATTTTTATGTATAGTAGCAAGAGAAAGTATTTGAAAAGGAATATAGAATACAATCTGTTCTAACAATTTGTTTCCCAAGAAATGCCTCAACTAATTTTGGACCACTTTGGGCAGGGGGGGGTCCTCAAATCCTACTTTTTCAAAGATAGATTTTAATAATGATATGATATTCTTTTTTTGGGGGGGGGTCCAGTTGTGGGGCCTGAACTCTGGGCCTGATTGCTGTCCCTCAGCTCTTTAGCTCAAGGCTAGCACTCTACTACTTGAGCCACAGCGCCACTTCTGGCGTTTTTCTTTTTGCTTATGTGGTGCTGAGGAATTGAACCCAGGGCCTCATGCATGCAAGGCAAGCGCTCTACCACTGAGCCACCTTCCCAGCCCAATAATGATATGATATTCTTCAAATAATGAAGGAAAAGGCTCTGGGAGTGGGGGGAATCAATCCCAAAGATAAAATACAGTTGGTTTATATTTACTTACATGTACTGTATACTACAAGTCTGAACTTGCCCAGTTTGTGTACATAGTATTTATAATCTACTCTAGAACTCCCATATCATTATCATGAGGAGTGGAATGAAAGACTGAAGAGAATAGAAATATTTCTTTTTTGGGGGGAGGGGGGTCTGATCATAGGGCCTGAACTCTAGGCCTGGGCGCTGTCGCTCAACTCTTCAGCTCAAGGCTAACGCTCTACCACTTGAGCCACAGCGCCACTTCCGGCTTTTTTTCTTTATTGCTTATGTGGTGCTGAGGAATCGAACCCAGGGCCTCATGCATGCAAGGCAAGCGCTCTACCACTGAGCCACCTTCCCAGCCCTAGAAATATTTCATATTTAGGTACTTCATGCCAAATCCATCTACCAAACAATATTCAGGTAGAAATTCAAACTCTAGACTTTTGACATTTTACTCTAAGCTTTCTTGTGTGAAGTTTGTCCTGTGTACTGCAGGATGTTTCATAGAGTCTTTGCACTCTGCTCACTAGAACACTAGTGGTACCTCATTCTCCCCTGTCAACACAACCAGAAGTACCTCTACACATTGCCAGATGTCCTCTGGGGACCAAAACTTTCCTGGCTTTGAATGACGGGCCAAAAAATTTTTTGTAAGAAAACTTCTCCCAAACGATGAGGCAGCCTAAAACATGACTTATATGAGCAGTTTTCAGGTTTTACCCAGATACATAATAAAAAAGGAGACAGCCTGGTGCCGGTGGTTCATGCCTATAATCCTACTCAGGAGGCTGAGTTGTAAGGATCATGGTTTGATACCAGCCCAGGCAGGAAAGTCTGTGAGACTTTTATCTCCAGTTAACTACCAAAAAGCTGTAAGTGAAGCTGTGGCTCAAGTGATAGAGCAAAAAAGCTAAGGAATAGTGGTCAGGCCCTAAGTTCAAGCTCTAGGATGAGCATGTACACTTGCACACATACACATAGGACAAAGATAACTTTTCTTTTTGCATTTTAGGAAAACTGAGGTGTAGCCTTAACTTTATCTCCTCAAACCATCTGTGGATACATGGCACCTACCACACCTACATTTGTTGTAAGCTAGACATGGCTAGGAAACAGTTAAGGAATAGTGCCTAGGCCCTGAATTAAACCCCAGTAGGGGCACAAATTCATACACACACATACATGAAAACAGGAAGATGCCCCTTTAAGTGATGGGTTGCTGGACACTGGTCATATTAGCAAGGTCAGCAGTCCTTGGTGTTCATAGGTGAAGGGGTATTTGGCCACAAAAACAGAACAAGGTTGGTGATGTCTTAGATACACTGGGGAGAGGAAACTGAATGATGATTCCTAAATGTCTCCTAACTGGAGATAAGGACTGATAATTCCTAAGTTGAACAACAATATAGGGAAGAGGATCTGGTGTAGAAAGTGGAAGATGGTGAACTGAAAGTTGAGTTGTGATAACCAAGTGGCTGTCAAGTAGAGCAGTTCAAAATATACTGACCTGGCACCAGTGTCACATGCCTGTAATCCTAGCTACTCAGGAGTCTGACATCTGAGGATTGTGGTTCAAAGCCAGCTTGGAGGAGAGCCTGTGAGATGGTTTTCTCTAGATAACCACCAAAAACCCAGAAATGGAGCTGTGGCTCAAATGGTAGAGTACTACCCTGGAGCAAAAAGGGATAGGACCCAGACCTGTGTTCAAGCCCCAGGACTGGAACCCAGCTTTATGGAGAGATCAAGCATTGAGATTTGAGTGTTCTGCCTATTTCAATGGGCAGCGCACAGGTCTAATGTTTGGAGTGAGAACAGGGCTTAAGACTGGAACTCCCAGGCCCATGCCTGTAATCCTAGCTACTCAGGAGGCTGAGATCTGAGGATCACGGTTCAAAGCCAGCCCGGCAGCAAAGTCTGTGAGACTCTTATCTCTAATAAACCACTAGAAAACTGGAAGTGGCACTGTGGCTCAAGCAGTGGAGCGCTCGCATTGAGCTGAAGAGTGCAGGCACAGCACCCAAGCCCAGAGTTCAAGCTCCACAACCAACCAAAAAAAAAAGAAAGACTGGAACTCCCAACATTTCCTGAGCATAGAGTGGAGCACGAGCTTGCAAAGGAAATGAGATGTGGGAAGAAACCCTTGGGAATCTTCTCAGAAAACTGAGTGGAAATCAGGGGCCAGTGGTACTGCTAACAGTCAAGCAAGATAAGAACATAACCTGTTCCTGGCTTTAGCGATAATAGAGGCCACTAGTCACCTTAAGTTTTATCAGTGTGAAATGAAGGCAGAGACTCTAGAGTAGAAAGGAGCAAAGTATGAAGACAATGTAGAATCAGTTTGGTTTAGTCCAGTTTTTATTTTGTTCTAGAAGAAGGCAAGTTGTTAAAAGTATGATGTGAGCAATTTAGTAGGGAAAATACAATTGAGAAATACACTGCTGGGTGTTGGTGGCTCATGCTTGTAATCCTAACTACTCAGGCTGAGATTCAAGGATCGAGGTTCAAAGTTAGCCTGGGCAGGAAAGTCCATGAGACTTACCTCTAGTCAAGCCAATTTTCATCATAAAGATGGTAATGAAGATGTGGTTTAAATGGTAAAACACTGCCTTGATGGGGGGGGAAAAAAGCTAGGCAAGAGCACAAAGTTTCAATCCCTAGTTCTGGCATGAGAGAAAAGGGTGGGGGTGGAGAATATACTTCCTATTCAAAGATGAGTAATTGTCCTTTTTTCTTAGTTACAGAAGGTATCCAGGGCATAGATGGCAAGATGGGCCTTGTTCCTTCGGTTAGCAGTTATTTGGACAACTAATACATGCCAAACTCTGTATGTGGCTGAGATAATGGCAGTAAACAAGCTCCTGTGGGGTTCATAGTCTAGATGCTAGAAACTAGCAATAGATGTGCAAACAAAAGATAATATCATCAGATTTTACAGCTACATAAAAAAAGATACAGGAAATGACTAGGACAAAAGGTTTTTTATGTGTCCAGCCATTTTTTTTTTTTATGTACCAGCACTAGAGCTTGAATTCAGTGCATCAGCTCTTGCTTGGCTTTTCATACTCTACCACTTGAACCACATTTCCATTGCCAGTTTTTTGTTTAATTGGAAGTAAAAACGTCAGACATTTCTGCTTGTGCTGGCTTGAAACAGATCTTCAGACCTGAGTAGCTAAGATGACAGACATTACCCATCAGCTCCTAGCTGTTATTCTCTCTCTCTCTCTCTCTCTCTCTCTCTCTCTCTCTCTCTCTCTCTCTCTCTCTCTCTCCCCCCTTTCTTTTTCTTTTTCTTTTTTTTTTCCTGTTGGTCATGGGGCTTTAACTCAGAGCTTGGACGCATGAGAGCTTTGTGCTCAAGACTAGGGCCCTACCACTTCTAGTTTGGAGATGGCTAATTGGAGATAAGGGTGGCAGGGACTTTCCCTCCCCAGGCTGGCTTTGAACCTCAGTTCTCAGATCTCAGCCTCCTGGGTAGCTAGGATTACAGGCATGAGCCACCAGCATCAGGCTCTTCCTTCCCTTTCCCCTTCCCTTTCCCTTTCCCTTTCTTTTTCCATTCCTCCCTCCCCCCTCCCTCCCTCCCTCCCTTCCTTCCTGCCTGCCTGCCTGTCTTCCTTCCTTCCTTTTTTAATTTTTTTTTATTTTTTTATTTTTATTTTTTGCCAGTCCTGGGGCTTGTGAACCCAGAGCCTGGGCACTGTCCCTGAGCTGCTTTTGCTCAAGGCTAGCACCCTACCACTTGAGTCACAGCATCACTTCTGGCTTTTTCTGTGTCTGAGGAATCAACCCCCCCCAGGCTTTATGCATGCTAAGCAAGCACTCTACCACTGAGCCACATTCCCAGCTCCCTTTCCTTTCCTTTCCTTTTGTTTGTTTGTCTGTCTGTCTGTCTTTCTTTCTTTTCTTTTCTTTTTTTCCTTTTGCCAGACCTAGGCACTGATCTTTTTTTGCTCAAGACTAATGCTCTATTTCTGGCTTTTCGGTGGTTAATTGGAGATGAGAGTCTTAGACTTTGCTGCCCAGGTTGGCTTCAATACATGATTCTCAGATCTCAGCCTCCTGAGCAACTAAGATTACAGATGTGAAATGTCAGCACTGGCTCAAGCAACTTTTTTTTTAATTGATGACAATACATGTCACAAAATCTTATCTCCTAACCATTTTTTAAGTATTCAGTACTGTTAAATATGTTAACATTATTACCCATCTTCAGATTATTTCTATGCATCTGACTAGTTTAGATACCTCAGAAGTGGAATCATACAGTATTTTTGTGTGTGACTTATTTCATTGGCCCCACAGGGTGGTGAAGTAAACAAAATACCATAGGAAGTAAGCAAAAGCACCTAGCATCAAGCCAATATGTCCTAGTACCCTTCCCACTGGACTTCCGTTGTATTTCTGGATTTTTAAGAAATGAAAATATGGTCAGTCTGTTATATGGGCTTAAAATTGTCTAATGGTGGCAGAAGACACCTTTGCCCTGCTTTTCAGGCAAGACTCATAAGGCAAGATTTATACACCTTTATGTCCCAGAATTTACCACCTCTTCCATTGGCCAAATTTCCACCATCCTGCCACATCCTGTTAGAAGTCAAACCTCATTGATATGTGTGGTCCCTATTTTGAATCATTTGGGTTTGGTCTGGAAACAGGTTTGGCTGGTGATTAAGATAATTTGTTGGGGGGGAGGGGGATGGCGTCGGGCTTAAACTCAGGGCCTAGATGAGGTCCTTGAGCAGTTTTTGCCCAAGGCTAGTGCTGTACCACTTGAGCCATAGAACCACTTCTGGTTTTCTGGTGGATCATTGGAAATAAATAATCTTAGGGACTTTCCTGTCCTGGCTGGCCTTCAACGGCCATCCTCAGATCTCAGCCTCCTGAGTAGCTAGGATTATAGGCGTGAGCCACCGGCGCCCACATTTTGAGAGGTCAACTCTTGGGAGCCTTTATTAAAAAGCTGGAGAATTCTTAAGGTATGATGCCATTCTGGGTACTCAGCATCCCGGGAATGAGCAAATCCTTGGGTTTCTGCAGGCTGTGCTTCGCCACGCCCACCAGGACGCCCCGCCCCTGCGCGGGGCCCAGGGTTGCTCAGCCTTGCCTTAGCTCCGCAGCCTCTCTTTCCTGGCCTTCCTCCTGTCTGCGCGTGCGGCATGGAACCCGGCTGGGACCTGGGGGCCTCGGCAGGCCGCTCGCTGCTGCTCTGCTCCGCGCTGCTGGTGGCAGGCTGTGCGTTGGGCCTGCGCCTGGGCCGCGGGCGCGGGGCGGCGGACCGCGGGGCGCTCGCCTGGCTCTGCTACGACGCCCTGGTGCACTTTGTGCTGGTAAGTGCCGACGCCGGCCTCGTGGGGGATGGGGCGCCCCTCCATCTTCCCGAGCCTGGGGTGGTCCAGACGGCGGGGAGTCCGCAGAGACCACCACCCCCCCCCCCCAGGCCTGAAGAGAGGCTGCACCATCCTGAATTCACCTAGGCTCAGGTGCTGCTCTTTCCTTTGTTAACTTACCCCCCACCCCCGCATCGCTGGAGGAATTTCTGCTTTGACGTAGTCGATTTCAAGCTACCCACAGGCAAGAACCTCAGTTCTGAGTAGGGGGTTGGGGGAGCCACTTGGGAGCTGAGATCGTTGGTGGGTGTTTTGTGTCTGGTTTTTTTTTTTTGTGGTTTTTTTTTTTAAATCACAAAGTCCAGGCTGGCCACAACACAAAGCAAATAAAACCCTGTACTTCAATGGTAACCACCATCTCTTGGATGAACCAGACACAATACTGAGCTTAAAATTCCTAAGCTAGTAGTTATTGTTCCTATCTCATAGGGGTGAAACAGGCCCCAAATAGTGAAGTCCTAGTGCCTTTTAAAAAAAATTAAATATTGATTAAAGCCTGCACTGTATGTTACTTCAGGCTTCAAGATGCTAAGATCTAAGGATCTGGGTTCAAACCCACCCCGTGGCAGAAAAGTCCATGAGGCTCATCTCCAATTAAACACCAGAAACCAGAAGGAGAGCTGTGGCTCCACTCCCCAGCAAGGGCTGGGAATGTGGCTTAGTGGTAGAGTGCTTGTCTAGCATGCATAAAACCCTGCAGGTTTCCTCAGTACCACATACACAGAAAAAGCTGGAAATTCTGCAGTTGGCTCAAGTGGTAAAGTGCTAAAAAGCCCAGGCCCTGAGTTCAAGCCCCAAGACTGGCAAAACAAAGTCCCAAGACTGGCAAAACACACACACACACTTTAAAATTTCATCCCACAGTTTTCCCATCAGTAAGTAAGCAGGACAGTTGGCCTAAATTCACATTTACTGTAAAACAAACCCTTACTATTTGCCAACTGGGCTAAATGAGAAAGTTCTATTGAAATATCTTTCTCATACACTGACCCAAAAAAAAAAAAAACCTATTGTAAAATAATTTTTTTGGTAAACTTGTTGGCTCAGTGGTAGAGTGCTTGCCTGGCATGCATGAAGCCCTAGGTTTGATTCCTCAGCACCACATAAGCAGAAAAAAGCCAGAAGTGGCGCTGTGGCTCAAGTGGTAGGGCGCTAGCCTTGAGCTGAAGAGCTGAGGGACAGCACCCATGCCGAGTTCAGCCCCCATGATCAACAACAATAACAAAAAAAATACACCAACTTTGAATCTAGACAAACCTTTACCAGAACTGACAGTGCTAGTACCCACAGAGTCACCAAGGAACTGGTAGTAGATGGGTGACCAGAGATGCTCCTGGGAGGAGGCATCTACTTGGCCATTAGGTACTAGATTCTTGATGTTGTATAATAAAGACTTTGAGGACATATTGAGGTAGAGACCAAGAAAGTTTATTAGTAAAGTGAAAGAAAAATAGATTGTACACAATCTAGACATTGATGCTGGCCCATCTAATAACAGTTGCAATGAATGTTTTGATGTCTCTGGTACTGATGTTGAAAAGTAGGTTGCAGTTCAACTCAAATTCACCTTAGGACATAAGCACTCCATTTTAACCTAATACATGGTAATTTCATCATCTCTACTGTTAAACATATTTTTTTTTTTTTGGTCGGTCGTGGGGCTTGAACTCTGGGCCTGAGCGCTGTCCCTCAGCTCTTCAGCTCAAGGCGAGCACTCTACCACTTGAGCTACCACTTCCCGTTTTCTGGTGGTTTTTATTGGAGATAAGAGTTTCACCGGACTGGGGAGGGGGGGGGGGGGCTGGGAAGGTGGCTCAGGGGTAGTGTGCTTGCCTTGCATGCATGAAGCCCTGGGTTCAATTCCTCAGCACCACATAAGCAGAAAAAGCCGGAAGTGGTGCTGTAGCTCAAGTGGTCGAGCGCTAGCCTTGAGCTGAAGAGCTGAGGGACAGCACTTATGCCCAGAGTTCAGGCACATGACTGACTGGCAAAAAAAAAAAAAAAAGGTTCACGGACTTTCTTGCCCGGACTGGCTTTGAACCTCAATCCTCAGATTTCAGCCTCCTGAGTAGCTAGGATTACAGGCGTGAGCCACCGGCACCCGGCTTTAAACATAATTTTATCAGTTGAGCCAGATATATGGAAGTTGTCCTACTCATTAAAGTTGGATTTTAATGTTTGGGCTTCCTTCCCTTCACAAAAAGGATTGATTCAGTCATATGCTCCAACTAAGATGAGTGTCCATCTCTGAAATGTTTTCTCCCTGTTCCCTAGATAGCCTGCCCTCCCTCCCTCCTTCTCTCCCTCTCTCTTTCCCTCCCTCTCTCCCTCCCTTCCTCCCTTCCTTCCTTCTTTCCTTCCTTTCTTCCTTCTTTCCTTCCTCCCTTCCTCCTTCCTTCCCTCCCTCCCTTCCTTCCTCCCTTCCTCCTTCCTTCCCTCCCTCCCTCTCTCTCTCCCTCCCTTCCTTCCTCCCTTCCTCCTTCCTTCCTTCCCACCCCCTCTCTCTTTCCTTGTTCAGTTCCCTAAGCACATTGATTTTTGGGGTAGCAGGCAGGGTCAGAGAGAGACTATTGTAAGGTGAGAAATCAGAAGAGCCACATTTTGAGAAGCCAGATCTTCGAGTCTTTATTATAAAGCTGGTGACTGCATAGTGGACTCCTGTCTCAAAGACCAGCAGCTCGCAAATAACATTTTACACTGTTAGGAATGCCATGAAGGCCAGAAAGGAAAGAAAGAACGGAAACAATACCAACAAACCAATTCGGCTCCAATGAGAGCTGAATTGGGATACCATGTTGACCTGAGAAGAGACAGGAGACAGGAGACCGGAAAGGAATGTGGAGACACAGGCATGGCAATGACCCTTGAGCTGTGTTCTGGGCCTAAATAGGTCAGGGGGCAAGATCACCAGAAACTCTCAGTTCCAAGCACTGGATTGACAGGTTGAGTAACCTATGAGCCAAGTCTCCACCTCTGCCTCTAGGGATTGAGACATACTCATCACCCTGGGAGGTGGGGCTTCTTATCTTCCCTCATCATGAAGACAAGATGCCAGACTCTACCAACCACCATGTGGCCAAGATGGCAGCAGCCAGACCTGTTCTTCCTACTTCCCTACTTCAAGACAAAGACTTTGCTTTTTCCTTTTAACTAATTATGAGGAAGTATAAGGCTGAAAGGGAAAACGGTGCCTTGAATCAAGCTATTAATTTAGTGTTTGTCTCTGGATTCCTGGCTGTTTCCCATGCTTCCTTTTCCCTGATCTATCCTGACTGAAAATCAAAGTTTATAGTGTTGAAAAGGAAAGCACAGTTGTATATGTGGAGGTAACAAGTATTGCTGGAATGCTGGGATTCTTTTTTTCCTGATAATGTGTGGAAATGAGAGATAGTGAATATCTTTTTTTTTTTTTTTTTTTTTTTTGGTCAGTCATGGGCCTGAACTCTGGGCCTGGGAGCTGTCCCTCAGCTCTTTAGCTCAAGGCTAGTGCTCTACCACTTGAGCCACAGTGCCACTTCCGGCGTTTTCTGCTTATGTGTTGCTGAGGTGCTGAGGAATCGAACCCAGGGCCTCATGCATGCAAGGCAAGCACTCTACCATGGAGCCACCTTCTCAGCCCTGTAAATATCTTTAACTCTTTTTAATAGAAGTGATCCCTAAATTACCACTTGAACATACAATCTCTTAAAGGACAGAGGAGTTGAACAGGTTGCTAGGCTCACTCAAAAATTATTACTAAAACATCTTTTAGACATGTACAGTAAAAAAGCACTAAACTATGGGTCTGTATATTCACTGCTTAGTTTAAGATTAGCTTGAGCTGGGCACTGGTGGTTCACATCTATCATCCTAGCTACTCAGAAAGCTGAGATCTTGTTCAAAGCCAGCCAGGGCAGGACAGTCTGTGAGACTCTTATGTCCAGTTAACCAACAAAAAGAAGCTGGAAGTGGAGTGGTGGCTTGAGTGGTAGAACACTAGCCTTGAGAATTAAAAAAAAAAAAAAAAAAAAAGCTCAGGGATAGCTCCCAGGTCCTGAGTTTTAAGCCCTGGCATTGGACTGACCTCCCCCCTCCCCACCCCCCCCCCCCCACACACACTTACTTTGCTTGTGGTTTATCTCATATTTTAAAATTTACAACCAAGCACTGATGTCTCACACCCATAATCCTAACTACATAGGTAGTCTGAGATCTGAGGATTGTAATTTAGAGCCAGCCTGGGAAGAAAAGTCTACAAGTTTCCATGTTCAGTTAACCATCAAAATGCCAGACTAGAGGCATAGCTCAAGTGGTAGAAAACCATCTGTGAGCAAAAATATCAAGTGAGATAGTGAAGCCTTAAGCTCAAACCTTGATACTGGCACAAAAAAATTAGAAATACAGAAAGAAAGCCATCCATGATTCAAATGCCCACCTCTTCACCATCTTCTGTAGTCCTCAGGGGACAGTAAGAAGAAATATGTCCAGCATGTGTCATCCAGAAGACACCAGGGCTGGCATTATGATGCCTGGTCATTTACCAAAAGGTGATTGTTTTAGTTTTAAGTTTAGGCCAGGTCTCACTGTGTAGCACACACTGATTTTGAATTGGAGATGCTCCTCCGCTACCTCCTGAATGCTGGGACGATAGCTGTGCATCACCATGCCCAGCAGGCATGTTCTCTTTAATTTTTATTGGTGGTTATTGGCGCTTACAAGTGTTTGAAATGTTCAGCATGCTGCCAAACTCAATATGAAAATTTCTCTTGGGTCCTGGTAAGGGAGTATTTGGCAGTAAAGCAGTGTTGGTACCTGCCACTAGGTTGAAGCCAGGCTTCAGTGGTAAGAACACTAGCCTTGAGCACAGCAAGGCTCAGGGACAGTGCCCTGGCCCTGAGTTCAAACCCCACAATAGACATAAAACAAAGCAAAACAAAAAAACCTGAGAATAAAGCCATCTTATGACCCAGCTAATACTATATGGTTCAAGGATAGCTAGTCAGGAGAACCAATCTTAGGCTGTCTGTGGAAGTTCACCAAATGTGTTTTTAACGTTTATTGCATGTAATCAACATGTGGGCCTGTTTTTGTTTGTTTGTTTTTGTTTGTGGTGGTTGTCCGAGGCAATGTCTCTGAGCTTTTTTGATCAATCTTAGCATTTCACCACTTGGGCTGAGCTTCACTTCTAGCTTTTTGATGGTTAACTGGAGATAAGAGTCTTATGGACTTTCCTGCCCAGGCTGGCTTTGAACCTCAATCCTCAGCTTTCAGCCTTTTGAATATCTAGGATTACAGATATGAGCCACTGGTGCCCAATTGTCTTAACAGCTTTTTTGCTGAAGGCTAGCACTCTTATCACCTGAAGCACAGCTTCACTTCTGGCTTTTTTGTTTTGTTTTTTGGAAGTTAATTAAAGATAAGAGGCTCATATACTTTCCTGCCCCAAGCTAGCTTCAAACCTCAATCCTTAGGTCTCAGCCTCCTGAGTATCTAGAATTATAGAGGTCAGCCTGTATATTAAACACAAACTATCTTCCTAGGTTTTTGAGGATGAGGATGATGATGGTATTCCAGACTCTAGAAATGTGTGATCTAATGGCACCTGGTCATTACAATAACACAAAGCTAGAAACATGGAGATAGAGCAGGGAAAGAAATGCATCTTCTTGGGATTCTTGGAAGAAAGGGGAATTTGAGCTGAGATTTGAAATATGAGTAGAACTTCAATAGGTAGATGTACAATGGAATAGCTTCGTTAGACATTCTTTGGTTTCTGCATGTAATTCATCTCCAGGTCACTGCTTTCCCCTTACCCATAGAGTTCCTTCTGAGGAAAGGTCCCCAGCCTAGTACTGGAATCTATATTTTGCTCCTGGGCTCAGTTAGCAAGGTTGTCAGTGGAAGTCACATCCAGTTTTTGGATGAGATCCACTATCTAATTTTAGAAGGCCTTTCATCTTACAGATAACTTAGCTTGAGGCCTACAGAGGGTCAAATTCAGCCCAGCCCCTTTGCCTCTCCAGACCACTTCAGTGATACTTTCTCTAGAAAGTTCCCAGACCAAGTTAAGGAAATGGTACGAATTTTTCTACTTGGGCTAGTGAAAATAAAGTTTTAAAGCTAATGGACTGGGGGTATTTGTTTGTATGAACATATACATGTTTTTTAAAGAAGATGGTTATATATATCATCTAAACCATGCTTACCAATTTAGTACTTATGAAGATTGTGAGTGAAAAATATATCACCTTCAAGCCGGGTGCTGGTAGCTCAAGCCTGTAAATAAATAAAAAGTAAACCTTCAAAGACACTGTGAAGCCAGGATTAAATGGATATAAAGTTGAAAGATACTTATAAGCTGAGAATGTCGTTTCCTCTCTCTCTCTGTCTCTGTCTCTGTCTCTCACTCATTCAGTCACTTATTTTCTCTCACACACATACACTCTCTCCTTTCCGTGCTGTTCCTGAGGCTTGACCTCAGGGCCTAAGTGTTGTCCCTGAGCTTTTTTTGCTCAAGGCTAATGTTCTACCACTTGAGCCAAAGCTCTACTTCTGGCTTTTGGGGTGGCTAACTGGAGATGACAGGCTCACAAATTTTCCTGCCTTGGCTGGTTTCAAACCGTGATTCTTAGATTGGCCTCCTGAGTAGCGAGGATTATAGATGTGAGCCACCATCACCTGGAAGGCTATTACAAACTGTGAGTGAAATAATATCTTACAAGTAACTTATGGGTGATGACCCGAATACAATACGAACTGTAGTATAATTTTGGGAAGTTCTTGAAGAAAGAGGATATTCCATTGGAGGTACTCCTCTTAATGACATAGGGTCAAGATATTGGATCTGCAGAGAAAGAAATTGTATCCCATTGAAGAAAACAGTATTTCTTGTAGTCACAATACTATAAAGGCTATTGAGGGGCTTTGGAGCTTTTAAATCCACTTACAGATAAAGCAACCAAGGCAAATATATTTACAAAATAAGAACAGACATGTAATCAATTTCAACAATAGCTACATAAGCAGTGGACAGAAGGTGAGAGTTGGAAAGGGTGTGAGGGACCATGGTGTGTGTGTGTGTGTGTGTGTGTGTGAGAGAGAGAGAGAGAGATAGAGAGAGAGAGAGAGAGAGAGAGAGAGAGAAGAGAGAGATTTTTTTCCTTTTACAAGGTAAGTCTATACACTGCACCACACTGATGAATAAACAGGCTGAAAATTTTCAGTTTATAATGTTACACACTTAAATAATCAGTAAAAGAATAATACAGCTCTCAAGAACTCAAAGGACTGGAAGTAACTTTTGAGGTTGACTGGCCTTAAAGAAATAGTATATTATGAGTTAATGACATAAATCACTAGAAGGATAGAGTGGCTAGAAGTGGTACTGTAGTGAATGAGAGGAGGTGCACGCAAGGTTAATGTTGCACAAAACAGTTGTTTTGGTTAAAAGCAAGTAGGAAAAGGTAATGACCAGCAACAGAGTTTATTCAAGGAAAAGGAACATTTCAGTAACAGGGAAATTTTAAGTTTAATAGTAGATATTACCTAAATCAAGGAATGCCTAAGCATGTTATGTTTTTCCATATTTGCCCTCATGGAACCAGATGCTAGTGACTCACACCTGAAATCCTGGCTCCTCCAGAAGCTGAGATCTGAGGATCACAGTTCAGAGCCAGCCTAGGCAGACAAACCCAACAGACTTATCTATAGCAAAAAGCTGAAGTGGGGCACTGGCAGCTCACACCTGTAATCCTAGCTACTCAGAAGGCTGAAATCTAAAGATTGTGGTTCAAAGCCAGCCCGGGCAGGAAAGTTCCTGAGATTCTTATCTCCAATAAAAACCACCAGAAAACGAAGTGGCACAGCGCTAGCCTTGAGCAAAAGAACTCAAGGACAGCACCCAGGCCCAGAGTTCAGGCCCCAGGACTTTCAAAACAAAAAAAGTTGAAAACATGGTTCAACTGGTAAAATGCCAGCTCTGAGTTCAAGCGCCAAAAATTTTAAAAAATCACCATTATGTGGGCAATTTATACTTTAGTATAGCCATTCAACACCTATTTTTGTTAAGATGAGCTTGGATTTTTATTGTTCAAAAAAAAACCCCAACCAAACAAAAAACAACTACTATGAGGTTCTTCTCAAAGATATAAGATCCATGGAATACTCTACTTAATAGAACAGTTAAATGTATTTCTAATTTTATAATGCCAAGAATGGTATTTATTTAATTTTTAACATTAGGGCTGGGAAGGTGGCTCAGTGGTAGAGCGCTTGCCTTGCATGCCTGAGGCCCTGGGTTCGATTCCTCAGCGCCACATAAGCAAAAAGAAAAAAGCCGGAAGTGGCGCTGTGGCTCAAGTGGTAGAGCGCTACCTTGAGCTGAAGAGCTGAGGGACAGTGCCCAGGCCCAGAGTTCAGGCCCCACGACTGGACCCCCCAAAAGAAAAATTTTTACATTAGCTTATAGTAATTACACAGAGGAGGATTTCATTGTTACATTGTCATTAGTATTACAGTATATTCCAATCAGTCTACCCTATCACCTTCCCTTCCCACCATTCAACTATTTCTACAGTAATATGTATATGTAATATATATATATATTATTTCCCCCCAATGGTATATGTATATATGCATGCTATATCTATCTATTTATGTGTGTGTGTGTGTGTGTGTGTGTGTGTGTGTGTGTGTGTGTGTGTGTGTGTGTTATTGGTCGGTTGTGGGGCTTGAACTCTGGGCCTGGGAGCTGTCTCTGAGCTCTTCAGCTCAAGGCAAGCACTCTGCCAATTGAGCTACAGTACCATTTCCGGTTTTCTGGAGGTTTATTGGAGATAAGAGTCTCATGGCCTTCCCTTCCCTGGGCTGGCTTTGAACTGCGATCCTCAGATCTCAGCCTCCTGAGTAGCTTGGATTACAGGCGTGAGCCACCAGCACCCAGCTACATCTTTATCTGTATCTATCTATCTATCTATATCACTATATATGTAGTGATATGTATACACACACACACACACACACACATATATATCACATCTAGCTGTCTGTCTATTCTATCATATTTCCTTTATTCATCTGTAGTTGGCCACTTCAACTGATTCTATTGTGAATAAGGCTGCAGTAAACAGCGTAGCAGGTGACTTTCTGGTATATTGATTTATTCTCCTTTAATTAAATGCTCAATAGTGGTATACTGGGGTCATAAATGGAGAAAGTCTATTTTTAGTCTTGAGAAAATGCCATACTGATTTACTGATTAACATAATGGCTATACTAGTTTGCATTTTTTTAAAAAAGTATTTATGATACACTAGCTTTGGGTATCTTCATTTTCAAGTCTTGGTAGGCTAGGCTCCAGAATCATACCCCACAAAGCTCTGGATGGTGTGGAACTCAGAATACTGAGGGTGCTGCCCTGCAGTGCGCAGGTCTGTTGTGCTATCCTGTAGTGGTTCCAGTAAGCAGGACACTTTTGTTTTCTTCTCTGTAGGAAGGCACTTTTGTCTACTTGTCTTTATCGGGAAACATTGCAGATTCTGAAGAAGGCTTGATTGCATCTTTATGTAAGTAATTAAAAACATTTGCATTTGAAATGTTGGCAGAGATGAATTACAAGTGTGGCTGTTGATGAAATGAGTGCCTACATCAAGTTTTGTTTGATTTCATATATGTATCATGTGTGGATCAGTAGTCAGATAATAGATTATTGGCTATCTAGAGTAGGAAGTAGGGGTAGGAGTGTTGGGGTGCAGTAAGGGAATGACTGCTAATAGATATTAGTTTCTTCTTGGGGTGCAACAAAATGTTCTAAATTAGATTGTGGTCATTCAAATTTGTAACTATATTAAAACCCATTCTTTAGACAGAAGAATTGTATGCCATGTGACTTAAGTCTCAGTAAAGTTGTATATTAAAAACATCATAGCCAGGTGCGGGTGGCTCATGCCTGTAATCCTAGCTAATGAACAGGCTGAGATCTGAGTGGGGGATCATGGTTTGAAACTAGACCCTGTAAGAAAGTCTGTAAGACTCTGATCTCCAATTAACCACTGAAAAGCTAGAAGTGGAGCTGAGTAGCTCAAGTGGTAGAGCGCTAGCCTTAAGCAAAAAAGCTTAGGGACAGCACTCAGGCCCTGAGCTTAAGCCCTGGCCTTGCACCAAAAAGAAAAAAAAGTATATCTGGTTGGGGATTTTAACCAGTGGTAGAGCAACTTGTCTAGCATTATGTGAGGTCCTGCACTGCAGAAACAAAGATTAAAAACAAAAAATGTGTGTGTGTGTGTGTGTGTGTATATACAAATTAAAGAGTGTAAAGTATTTGAAATGGATATTCTTTTATACTTTTAGCATTAACTTCCTTTTTTTTCTGTCAGTCATGGGGGCTTAGGCGCTGTCCCTCAGCTCTTTCAGCTCAAGGCTAGCGCTCTACCACTTGAGCCACAGCGCCACTTCCAGCTTTTTCTGCTTATGTGGTGCTGAGGAATTGAACCCAAGGCCTCATGCATGCAAGGCAAGCACTCTACCACTGAGCCACCTTCCCAGCCCTCAACTTCCTTTTTAATTTCCCTGTCTCCTCCTGTCGTGCCAAGGTAGTAACAGTTACCAGTCTCCTTCACCCTCATTGCAATCTTATGGTATGGACTTTACACAACATTCTTTTAAGATGGACCAATGAGCCACAGGTAAAACTGCTTTGCTCAGGATGATTGCCCTCAGATTTTGCATCTGCAATTTTCCTCTCTCTCCTTTCCTTCTTCCCTCTTACCCCCTCTCCTCCCTTTCTTCCCTCTTCCCCCTTTCCCCCTCCCTCTTCTCCCTCCTCTCCTGTCTCTTTTCCCCTTCCTTTCCCCTCTCTCCCCACCCAGTCTAGGAGGAAACCCAGGGCCTCATGCACATTAAGCTTCTGCTGTACCTCTGAGCACCACGCCCAGCCTAACACATTTCTTTGGAGTCACTTGTGTCCTCCAGCCAGAAATTATGTGGGTTCTCCTGCTCATTGCTAGTGTTAGGAAACTTCTAGAGAATGGAGTCTGCTACAGTCAGTGCTTCTGAAAACAGGTCAGTGGTCACCTGGGAGGTGAGCTCTATGGGGTGGGCATGCTGCTGCTTCATTTCCAGGGTTTATGTTAAACCTTGCTTGAGGATGGCAGGCAGAGCCTTGAGGCTCAGGGCCCTGTTGCAGCCTACCTACTGCCTGGCCCCAGAGAAACTGATTTGCCCAGATTCATTCAATGGCATTCAATGCAGATGTCTTATATGGTCTTTCTCAGTCATCCTCACATTTACATGCTTTTCTTAAACAAGTGAAAAAAAAAATCCCTAAATGACTGACACTCCACCACTTGAGCCACAACTCTACTTCTGGCTTTTTGGTGGTTAATTGGAAATAAAAGTTTCACAGACTACCTGGGCTGGCTTGAAACCAAGATCTTCAGCTCTCAGCTTCCTGAGTAGATAGGTTTACAGGTATGAGCCACCGTCACCATGCTTTACTGAAAATGTTGGCCTCAGTGTGAGCCACTTTCGGGCAGTGTTTGTGGCCTGATGGTTGCTGCATTCTCCAGGCCCATCACAGGGAATCCCATCTGCTCAGAAAAGATTGGTGGAATAAAGACTGAATGGATGGTGGTTTGGGAGCTGTTTTGTTTTCATTGTCTAAACACCACTAATCTCTTTTCTTCTAAAGCATTTGCTTTTACCTAAATGATTTCCTTAGATTTTGGATGCACCAACTGGTACATTTTGCCTATGTGTAAACTTAGGGGGAAGTTTTTCCTTTCACTTACTCTGCAGTTACCCAGGTACTGCATTACCTTTGAAGCACAGCCAGTGGCTAAGGACAGATCTCTGCTGTGCCTGGCATCAGGCAGGGCCTCCGGTGCCTTATCTTGGCTGTTCTTTATTTCAAGTCAGCCTGTCACGAGAAACCTTTGTTCCTGGTCTGGAGAAATCATCTTCCACTGGCCATTAGAGTGGAGAGCTTTGCACTATGCAGGCCATTCAGATGCCAGTGTTAGTTTTTGACCATTCGTACTTCTATTTTCTTTTATTTTTTTTAAAGTCTCACGTATTTTTCTGCCCCAACTGGCTCTGAATCTTGATTCTCAGATCTGAATCTCTTCAGCAGCTAGGATTATTGGCATGAGCCACTGGCACCTAGCCACTGATCATTTTTCTCATGTGTGTATGTTGGTCCTGTGGCTTGGGTGTTGTCCTTTAGCTTTTTTTGCTCAAGGCTGGCACTCTTAAAACTTGAACCACAGCTTGGTGATAAGAGTCTCACAGATTGTTCTGCCCAGGTCGCTTTGACCTGGATCCTCAGGTCTCAGCCTCCTAAGTAGCTAGGATTACAGGTAGGTGTAAGCCACCAGTGCCAGGCCCTTTGGCACTTTTTTGGCGGGGGGGTGGTGTCAGTCGTGGGCCTGAACTCTGGGCCTGGGTGTTGCCCCCTCAGCTCTTCAGCTCAAGACTAGCGCTCTACCACTTGATCCACAGCTCCACTCTGGCTTTTTTCTGCTTATGTGGTGCTGAGGAATTGAACCCAGGGACTCATGCATGCAAGGCAAGCACTCTACCACTGAGCCACCTTCCCAGACCCTGGCACATTTTGAAAGGAATGAATAGGAGAACAGTATTTGAAGGAAGAAAGGAGTCAGGGATGTCCACTTTTTCAGTCTTATCATTCAAGGACTTAGTACCAGCATATATTACTTTTACAAATTAAAAATATGTAAATTAAGCAGGGAGAAGAATGATTTCGGTGCATGGTCTAAAAAGGCTTCTTTCCTTCCTTCTTTCCTTCCTTCCTTCCCACATAGTACACAGGTACCCTATCACTGATCTGTGCAAATTACCCCCTCACCTCACATTTGTTTGTATTTTGTTTTTGAGATAAGGTCTTCACTACCTTAGCTTAGGCTAGCCTTTAACTTGAGATTGTCCTGCCTCTGCCTCTTGAGTTTCTGGGCGCGCGCACGTGTGTGTGTGTGTGTGTGTGTGTCCATGCGCGCACGTGTTTGTGTGTGTGTCCATGTGCGCACGTGTGTGTGTGTGTGTGTGTGTGTGTGTGTGTGTGTGTGTGTGTGTGTCCATGCCAGCTTCTAGAAGAAACATTTTGATCATGGGTCTAAAAAGATTCTTAGGTTACCTTTACTCCCAGCAAGCACAGCTGAGGGGCTGCAATGTCCCTTTGTCGACTTTTTATTTACTTTGTAGATATTGTTTCCTCCATCCTATATCATCTCAGTATTCAATTAATAAATGTTGTTTTGAAAGTCAGATGCCAGTGACTCACACCCTGTAATCTTAGCTACTCAGGAGGCTGAGATCTAAGGACTGTAGTTCAAAGCCAGCCAAGCAGGAAGATTTATGTGATTCCTATCTCCAATTAACCACTAAAAAACTGGAAATTCAAGCCTCAGTACTAGCACCAAAAGAAAAAAAATGTTTTGAAATGGGCATGGTAGCTCATGCCTGTGACCCTAGCACTCAGAAGGCAGAGACAGGAGAATCTTGATTTTCAGACCAGCCTGGGCTACATAGTAACACCTTACCTCAAACAAACAAAATAAAACAAATTAAACACCAAAAAATATATTTTTAGTTAAACATTTCCTTAGTAATAATTTTTCCTCAACTAAACTATACTTACAGTCTTTATGTTGGAAATATATATATATATATATATATATACATATACATATATATATATATATATATATATATATATATATATACACATACATATATAGAGTCTGTCTTGGGGTAAACTCAGGGCCGGGGCACTATCCCTGAGCCTTTGCTCAAGGCTAGTGCTCTATCACTTTGAGTCATGGTACCACTTCTGGTTTTCTAGTGGTTCATTGGAGATAAGAGTCTCATGAACTTTCCTTCCCAGGCTGGCTGTGAGCTGTGATCCTCAGATCTCAGCCTCCTGAGTTGCTAGGATTACAGGAGTCCGCCACCAGCATCCAGCAATGTTGAAAATTTAAAGCACAAAAATTTTAATGCATTTCCCAAGATCATGATTAAAGATTGCCTTTGTAGCCGGGTGCTAGTGCCTCATACTTGTAATCCTAGCTACTCAGGAAGCTGAGATCTGAGAATCACAGTTTGATACCAGCACAGGCAGGAAAAAACTCTTGAGAGACACAGATCTACAATTAACTGCCAAGAAAAAACAAAAAAGCTGGAAGTGGCGCTGTGACTCAAGTAGTAGAGTGCTAGCCTTGAGTATGGAAGCTCAGGGACAGTGCACAGGCACTGAGTTCAAGTCGCTCCCAGGACGGGCACAAAGAGAGAAGGAGAGAGAAAAGAAAAAAAAGATTGTGTTTGCAAAATCTGATGATGTTGAATTAATTTAGGATTTTGCTACTTTATAGTGAAAAGGGTTCACGGTGGTAAGGGAGAATATGTGCGTGCACTTTGGAGGTTGGAGAGTATTCTACGTATCTGATATTACTATTATACTTGTGTTGGGCATCATGCAGAGAGTGGGGCGAGAATTCTTTTGCTCTCCTTCCAGGATAAAGGTCATGTTGGTTAACTATCATAATCATCCTCCCCAGTTGGATGACAGCAGGATTTGATTTTAGGGAAAGAGTATGGCAAAGCTGACATACGATGGCTCCATTTTGATCCAAATATCGTGTCTGTGGAAATTTTCACCGTTGTGGTAGGTGGGTTCCTGGCGTTGTTCCTCATTTATGCCATTGTGATGGAGAGATATTACCGGTAAGTGAGGGTGATTACTTCCTTAGTTAAAAGAAAGCAAACGTCAGTTGTCTCAATGCCTGACTAACATTTAGAGTAGGTTGTGACCAATTGTATTTGTGAGATGGGAAACAGAATGGAAGTGAAAATTATTTGATATCTCCTCTAACAGTCACCGGGGAGCCAGGATAATTTTGGATCATTCCCAATTAAAAGTAGGAGCTGTGGGATACTGGGAACAGCAGTGATTTTGTGGAGACAAGATGGTGTTAACAGTGTCGAATGACTGACCACTAATATTTTGGAGACTGTAAATGTGAAAGAGTAAAACAGATATATAATTCCATATTGTATTCTCTAAGTAGATCTAGAAAACTTCTGTCCCACTTGAAACAAAGTGAATTCTCTGTGTTAGACATGGGTGAGTTGGACATGGAAGGGAAGAGAAGTTTCCAGAAGCAAGTTCTTGCTGCTTTGGGTAGGCAGAAGACTGGGGAGATGAGAACTTAACTATCCTTGGAGTCAGATTGAAAGAGCTCATCTCTCCTCCTTTCCCTAGTGTTTTCCTCTCCTGGGGAGCTTCTTAGTCACCTGAGATAAAAAGATGACAGTACTTGGAGGGGGGTGTGAGTCCCTAAAACAACGTCCAGTGTGCACAACTGCATTTTATTTTCTATCTGTACTAAAAAAAAGTCTTATGGAAAGCTTCAGTATAAAATCTCAGATTTGAAAGAGGTTTTCAAGGCCATTTGGTGCACTTTTCCTCACCCAATTTTACAGAGGTAGTGGCCATGAAAATTAAAAATTTCATCTAGATGTGGTGGCTCATGTCTCTAACTACTTGGGAGGCTGAGATCTGGAGGATCGTGATTTGAGGCTAGCCTGTGCAAAAAGTTCACAAGACCCCATCTCAATCACTAAAAAGCTGGATGTGGTAGCATATGCTTGTCATTTCAACTACACAGGAAATATAAATAGGAGGATTAAGATACTGAGAGATCCTTATGATCAAAAAGTGACTAATACAAAAAGATCTGGGGATATGGTTGAAAGGGTAGAGGACTTGGCTAGCAAACATAGGGTCCTGAATTCAAACCATAGTACTAAAGAAAAAAAGTTACATTTTTTTTCTTGGCCTCTTCTCATAGTTTTGGCTCCTAGACCATAATTATGGATTACTACATGTACCTATGAGTTTGTTATTTCAAACATGCCTAATATGTACATTGTCATGGACTTACTATATGCTCGGTACAGTGCTTTACCCCCTTATCCACAGATCTCATTTAATTGTGGCTCATGTGAGATTCACTAAATCCTCAGAATAGTCCAAGAATGGTCTGCTAGAAACAGTAACATTACTTGCCCCCAAAGAAAGAAAGAGTTTTTATTAATCATGTTGACTTACCCCATCAAGAGAGCGCTGCACAGAACTTCTCCCAACCTTGTAGAAGCATTGTTGCTGGGAATGGAACCCAGGGGCTCATGCCTGCTAGGCAGCTGTTCTACCATCTGGTTACATCCCAGCCCTGGAGAGGTTTTCTATAGCAAAGACTTCACTTAAAGAAAAGATGCAGTGAACTGGTTACCGGTGAGTCATATTTGTAATCCTAGCTACTCAGGAGGCTGAGATCTGAAGATCGCTGTTGAAAGCCAGCACAAGCAGAATAGTCTGTGAGACCTTTCAATTAACCCCTAAGTAAAGCCAGAAGGGGAACTTTGCCCAGGCCCTGAGTTCAAGCCCATGAACAACCAAAATAAAGGGGGGAGGGGGGAGAAGGAAAGAAAAAAAAGAAAGAAAGATAGATGATAGATCAATTGATCAATCGATAGATGCATGCATGCAGTAGTTCAGGGTTCTGGGCTACATCCATCAGGCAGTTTCATTCCTCTCTTCTTTCTCTCCGACAGGCACTTCCTACAGATCACACTGTGTGTTTGTGAACTCTATGGTGGCTGGATGACCTTCTTCCCAGAGTGGCTTATCCAAAGCCCCAACCTCAACACCAAGAGTTGGCTGTACTTTTGGGTCTATCTGGTATTCTTTAATGGGTTGTGGGTTCTGACCCCAGGACTGCTATTGTGGCAGTCTTGGGCAGAACTCAAGAAAATGCATCACAAAGGAACTGCTTTGGGGAAAAAGCGTTGGTGAATTTCAAAATCATACTGCCATTTTGCTTAAGAATGGATAGATTTAACATTCCAGTCTGCACTGTCTTTTTGTACTGTTGTTCCTGAAAACCTGTTTCAAATTGGTTGTGAGGTAACAAAGTTTTGTTGATTTTATTTTATTTTTTTAATTGAAGGACAGACACGGAAAAGAGATATCTGAGGGTATAGCTCAGTAACAGAGTGCTTGACTAGCAAGCACAAGGTACACACACACACACACACACATACACAAAAGAACAGGGAAAGAGAATGAAATTTTAACTTGAATAATTGCATTTGATTATATACTTTTGTGGCTGGTATTAATTGTTCTACATTAATAAAGTTGAATGTCATAGAAAAATATAATGTATTATGTTATTCTTTTTTATTCCAAAGAACATGTTGCTTCCTCTTTTAATCTTCTGAATAGTTTCTTTTACTTATCAGTGTAAAACAAGAAGTAAAATGTGTGCTTCTGTTTTACTATAGTGGGCTTAAACTCAGGGCCTGGGCACTGTCTCTGAGCTTTTTGGTTCAAGACTAGGGCTCTACCACTTGAGCTACAGTGTTACTTCCAGCTTTCTAGTGGTTAATTGGAAATAAGTGTCTCATGGACTTTCCTGCCCAGGCTGGCTGCTAACCCTGATCCTCAGATCTCAGCCTCCTGAGTAGCTAGGATTACAGGCATGAGCCTGGTTTATTTGTGCTCTTTTAAAATGTGTAAATCCAACAAAAGCTTACTGTAGTGCCAACTGTAGGGATGCATACCTGTAATCTCAGCTCTCAGGAGGCTGAAGTATTGTGATCTAGGCTAGCTGGACTACATTAGAAGACCCTTTCCCTGCTCCCTCTTTCCCTTCAAAAAAGATGGTTTTGAGAGCAAGTTGTGAAATGAGTCACAAGGTTAGTACTTGCCCTCAGTACCAAGAGGGAAAGAGAATGCATTGTTTAAGAAAATGGTGGTTCCAGGAAGACTATGGTGGCTCTCAGGGTAAATAGGTACTCCTATTAGTTTCCTTTATTTCCTTCCTTCCTCCCTCCCTCCCTCCTTCCCTTCCTTCCTCCCTTTCTTCCCCTTCCCTCCCTTCCTTCCCTCCTTTCTTCTTTTTTTTCCTTTCGTGTGTGTGTGTGTGTGTGTGTGTGTGTGTGTGTGTGTGTGTGTGTATCTGGAATTTGAGCTAGGACTTCTAACTTGTTTTGCTTGCTTAGCTGGCCCTCTACCACTTGGGCTTTGCTTCCAGCCCTCCTTCTTTTTTGTTTTTGTTTTTGTTGTTTTTGTTTTTGTTTTTTTTGCTTTGCTGGTTATTTTCAAAATGGGAGTCTCTCAAACTTTTCTGCCTCATCTGACTGAACCACGATCCTCCAGATTTCAGGTAGGATTACGGGTGTGAGCCACTGGTGTCTAGTGACACCTGTCTTTCTTAGTAGACTTTAAAACTCACTGATGAATCCTGTGCCAAGAAACATGTCTGGCACAGCAACTAGACACTTGTAATAGGGGCACTGTAGCTCTGAGAGCTCAGTCTGCCTCCCACCCTCCTTTTTAGGCAATTTGCTGCTAGAGTTCGGATTTTGAATGTCCCCCTGTCCCCCCAAGGCCATGGACTGAAGGTGTGTTCTTCACCCTGTGTTGTCATTGGGAAGTGGAACCTTTAGGAGGCGGGGCCTAATAGGAGGGGGTTGGGTTTGTGGGGGCGTGGCCTCGGCCGGAAGTGGACCCAGCCCCTTCCCGTTTGCCTGGTGCCCTGGCATAAACGTCTATGACTCCGTCAAGGGTGCAGCGCTGCAGGCCCAAGCATGGAAACCGTAAGCCACAATGGGCGTTTCTTCCAGTCAGGGTGCTTGTCTCAGTCGTTTGCCTCGGAAGGGGAAAGCTGACTGGACCTGGGCGCTGGGTTGCCTTCACTTCTCTGAAGAACTTGGCTTTTACAGGATGAGAATTCAGACTGCGATTGCTCCTCATTTCCTCCTCTCCCCTTCTCCCTGTCCTCCTCCTCCCTGTCCCTCTTTTCTTTCTCCTCTCTCTCTCCCCCATTCCCCTTCTCCCGCTCTCTCCCTTTAGCTCCTCCCTCTCCATCTCCCATTCCCCCCCCCCCCCCGCCTGTTTCTCCTGCCCCCCCAATTCACTCTTTCTCTCCTCATCTTCTCCCCCTTTTCTCCCTCTCCTCTATGAGAAATAAGGTCATAAAAATTTGAGGGTGTGTTAGTGCTCCAAAGTGTTCAACTTGCTGGATATTGAGAGACCGTTGTTGTGGTTGCAGGAAAAAGGGTCTGTGACTCAGTCTGGTGGTCTCCCTGGACAGGATCCACTTTGTGGTCACTGGGGAGTCATACCTTATAGGTTAGCCAAGCACCTCTATCCTGTAACACAGAAGTGACTAATAGGTACACAAAAAAATGGCAGTGTTATTCATCATTACCCCCCGAACTTTTAGAAACAGCCTAAATGAATATATGCACATATAATGAAAATGTGTAGTAGGCTACTATGCAGCAAAGAAAATGAACCAGCTTGGAAGTGGAGCTGTGGTTCAAATGGTAGAGCAGTAGCCCTAAGCAAAAAAGCCAAAGGAAAGCATGCAGGCCCTGAGTTCAAGCCCCAGTACTAGCACCAAAAAAGAAAATTAACCTGTCTCTTAACAACATAGGAGAATACACAGTGATAATGTAAAAGAGATCAGAAAAAAAACTATATATTGCATGATTTGTTTAATTTCACAAGCAGATACAAGTTGAATATCTTTCATCTGATATGTATGGGGATGGATTTGTTTCAGATTCAGAGGTTCTAGGTTTGGGAATATTTGCATAGATTTTCTGATGAGCAGGGTGAAGTATCCCTAATCCTTTAAATCCCAAAACTGAAATTTTCCCACGTCTTCAGATTTTGAGTTTTAGGTTAAGAATACTCAGTCTGGCCAGGTACCTGTGGCTCATGTTTGTAATACTAGCTACTTAGAAGGCTACTATCCTATTTGAGGATCACAGTTCAGGAAGGAAAGTCCATGAGACTTATCTCCAAGTACTCACCAGAAAACAGGAAGTGGCACTGTGGCTCAAAGTGGTAGAGTGTTAGCTTTGAGCAAAAGAGCTCAGGGATAGTGCCAAGGCCCTGAGTTCAAGCCTCATGATCAACAACAACAACAACAAACAAAAATAGAGGATGAATTTTCCAATTAGTGCATTAAATACAGTGTGGAAAAAATTCCTGGGACCCTTTCTCTAAAATGTCAGTTGGGCACTAGTGGCTCACACCTGTCATCCTAGCTACTTGGAGAGTTTAGGCCAGCCTAAGTTAAAAAGTCCACAAGATCCCAATCTCGATCAGTAGCTGGTATGGTAATGTTCATATGTCATTTCAGCCACAGGAGAGAAGCATAAATGAGGTTTTCAGTCTGGGCCAGCATGGGGGAAAAATTGAGACCTTATAATCAAGCATGACCATATTGAAAAGGGTTGGAGGAGAGGGTCAAGCCCCTTGCCTAAAAAATGTAAAGCCCTGAGTTCAAACCTAATTACTGCAAAGAAGCTGGGATATTGTATGTATGTCTGTAATCCTGGAATTTAGGTGGCTGAGGCAGGAAGATTGTGAGTTCAAGGCCATATATCAAGGCTGTAAGTCAAAGATATATAGCAAAATTCTATGTCAGAAAAAAAATACCTCTTCTGTTCTAATAGGGAATCTCAAACTGAGCATTAGATATGTTCTTAGAAGCACACAAATTATAAAAATTTTGGCTGGGAAGGTGGCTTAGTGGTAGAGTGCTTGCCTAGCATGCATGAAGCCCTGGGTTCCATTCCTCAGTACCATATAAACAGAAAAGCCAGGGCTGGGAAGGTGGCTCAGTGGTAGAGCGCTTGCCTTGCATGCATGAGGCTCTGGGTTCCATTCCTCAGTACCACATAAGCAAAAAGAAAAAAAAGCTGGAAATGGCACTGTGGCTCAAGTGTTAGAGCACTAGCCTTGAGCTGAAGAGCTGAGGGACAGCGCCCAGACCAAGAGTTCAGGCCCCACGACCAGACCCAAAAAACACAAAACAAACAAACAAACAGAAAAGCCAGAACTGCACTGTGGCTCAAGTGGTAGGGTACTAGCCTTGAGCAAAAGAAGCTCAGGAACAGTGTCTAGGCTCTGAGTTCAAGCCCCAGGACTTGCAATAAAGAAGTAAACAAAAATTGCTCAATTTTCTGTATTATCTGTAATCTAAAAAACCAGTACATTTCTGATCATCTAAATTTATTGATACTTGAATAGCCACTTAGATTCACCATTTGGTTTGGTGTTTGTGAATGGTCCTATGTGTTTGTCAGTGATTGGACCAAATGGTTGAGTGATAGCAGTCCTTTACAGTTCAGTGGTTCTTCTAGGCTAGAAGTGACAAGAGGAGCACACATAATCTTCAGTCCCCATGTTTTCAGATGTGAGCAACACTTTGTGATCCCCACAAATGTGTGCATGTTGATGTGTTTTAACAAAAATAAAAACTTCTGTCTTTGTAAAACCAAGCTACTCAGGAGCCAGAGATAGGAGGATCTCAGACCAAGGATGTTTGGACAAAGTTAGCTTGAGACACTTATTTGAAAAACAAACTAGCCGGGTGCTGGTGGCTCATGCTTATAATCCTATCTACTCAGGAGGCTGAGATTTGAGGATTGCAGTTCAAAGCTAGCCTAGGCAGGAAAGTTTGTAGATTCTTACCATCAGAAAACCAGAAGTGGTGCTGTGGCTCAAGTAACAGAGCTCTAGCCTTGAGCTGAAGAGCTGAGGGATACCACCCAGGCTAAGACTTTGAGCCCCATGACCACCACCACCAACAACAACAAAAAATCCCTAAAAGCAAATGGACTGTGTGCATGGCACAAATAGTAGAGTTCTTGCCTATCAACACAAGGTCCTGAGAACAAAAAAAAACCCTGCCTGGTGGTGATAGCTCAGGTCTGCAATACCAGCTACTTAGGAGTCTAAGATCTGAGGACTGCAGTTTGAGGTAGCCTATGCAGAAAAGTCCATGAAACTCTTATCTCAGTCAACTAGCATAAATCTGGAATTAGAGCTGTGGCACAAGTGGTAGAACACCAGTCTTGAGCTAAAAAGCTAAGGGGCAGTGTCCAGGCCCTGAGTTCAAGGCCTAGTGCCTTGAACAACCTTTTGTCTGTGTTTCTCATTTCAAATTCATGGTACTGTGTTGAGAATGAAGATGAACCCATCTCGGGTATTTCTTGGTTATGTTTTGAGAGTCTAGTGGGTTTTAGTCATGGGGATGGGGTCTAATTAGTAAGAACTGGAAGCAGGGAATGAATTTTACTGATGTAGGCCTGAGCCCAGAAATTTACTCCTGTATATACTTCTGTAAC